ATATCTAATATATTATAATATATATATAAATAATTTACTTTTTTAGTTTTTTATTATTTTTAGCCTAATATAACCTAATATTATTTTAGATTTTATACTTATATAATACTTATATTATATATATAATTTTATTTAATTATAAAGCGAATTAACTATAAATTAATAATATTATAATAAAAATTATAAAATTATATATTAGGGCTTATAAAGGATATTATAGGTCTTAATAGTTAGTATTATATATATATATTACCGACCAATAAAATATATATAAGGTTACTTATACTAGTAAATATCTAGATAGTTTTTACCTAGTACTATCTTTTAAAGATTAAGCGTTTACTAATATATCTGCTTTGCTTTCTTATACTTTCTAAGGCTATTAAGTATAATTATAAGGTTATTTATACTCCTAAATATATATAAATGCTTTTTACCTAGCACGGTCTCTTAAAGTTAAGTATTTGCTAATATATCTTCTCTGCCTCCTCGTACTTTCCCAGATTCTCAAGCATCACGCTAAGGTTATTCAGACTGCTAAACGAGGTGATGACGGAGGCTTTAATACAGAGAAGTTTTTTTCTCTTTTTTCTCTTTTTTTCCGGGAATGGAAACATCTGTGCTAATGAACAAATCTCCAGAGGGGTGTCTTCATGCAATTGGCCCGGTCTTGACACCACACAAACAGATCGCAGGATTTGATGACATCTTTAAGCCACATACCCCGCTCCGATGAAATACGAAGTTTTATTCTGAGCATCTTCCTTCCTGTTGTCGGCTCTCGAGCGAAACAAGCCCGCATTAGACAGCTTCAAGCCTTTGCCATGGGACAGAAGAATCCACCACCAGACGAGAGGGTTGTTTACTTGGCCCTAAAAAACCTATTTAAAGGCCAAAATGCGCAAGTCAGAAAGAGCAAGACTGTTGCAAAGCTCATCAAGGGGTCCAACAAAGAGGATGCGGTGGCTAATCTACTGCGCGAGCACGACTTTGATACCATCTGCACCATGGCTGGCCGATTGCTCAGCGCCAAAATATTCGAATCTACGCTCAAAGCGAAAGTACACTTCCCGGAGCTCTTCGACAGTTCCCCTGCACAAAGCGCCGAAAAAGAGGCGTCGGAAGCCGAAGCAGCTCGAAATGAGGCAAACGCAATCAAGGACGCCACACAAAATCGTTATAAAGAAATACAAAGTGATGACCCGCAACATGTTGATGCGGCTCATGGTATGTACCTATTGTTTTGTCCTAGTCCAAGAGACTGACTGGCGACCAGCCGACGATGCAGAGGGTAAACAAGCAGAATTTACCGAGACCCCGACAGTATCCAAACACACAGCAGCGGTAAAACAACATATGGTTCACATGCCATCACTTTTTCCACTTTACCTTCCTCTAAGTGTTCAGCATAAGCTTTTTGTGTATCTGCAGGGGTTGCTTGAACGAGTTTGTTATACTTACGGGACGCAAGCAATGCCGGAGGTCCTGCAGGGTCGTGGATGGGACTGCCCCGAAGCTGTTGAACTGAATCGTTGGACTGACGAATTTTCCAAACGGACAGACATATTTAGAAAGAAACCGGACGTGGGGAAGCCAATCAACCAGCTCTTTCAATCCCTTGCGAATATTCGTCACACAGCGGTTCACCGTATTCGTCTTAGTGCAAAGGGTATCGAGAAATACCTCAGCGATGCTGAGTTATTTGTCACGCTCATTGGCGATACAGTACATCTTGAAACAATTGACAAGCTCCGCCGAGAGACGCTAGCTACTATGGAGGAGCTTGAACGGAATAAACACCTCTTGCAGGTGCGCTTTGGAGAAGAGTTGCGGAATATCGCTGATCAGCGTGCTCAGCTGGACAGTGCCGAAAGGTCTGTCATTGCTGAGATATTGAAAGAAGATAGCGAGTATCAGATTCTAGCAGGAAAACATGTAGAAGAGGCAATTGCGCCGTCTGAAGCATCGTTCTCGACCGCCATTAACGCAGTGGAAGAAAAAGGTGCCATAGACGACGACACTGACAGCACAAACGAGTATTGCCATGATGACGGTCATCACGAAGATGAATGGGGGGATATTGAAAGCTAGTGATATCAATACAAAAAGCGCATAGCTTGTCTTGACCAATTGCTACGCAAGAAGTAAATTCAGCAACCAAATGAGCAGCACCCATCGTACTTGCATCGTCGTGTTGATGCCCATCGTCAAGCTGAAAATGATGCCTGCTATACGGGGAATTGCAACTAAAGTTTATAAAGTAAAATAAATCTAAAAATCTAAAAAAAAATTATTTCTTAATTAAATATTTTATAAGCTTTATTAAACTATTTAATTAAAAGTTTTATTATTAATAAAAGCTATTTTTAAAATATAATTATTTAAAAAAAATACCTAAAACTTTAAAATAAGCTTAATAATTACCTATATAAGAAAATAAAAATTAAGAACTAAAACCTAAATATATTAAAATTTAAGTAAATAATTTATAACTAATAAAAAGCCTAAAAAATAATTTTTAAGCTCTTAAAAAATAGCTTTCGCCGTAGCGATAATACGCCAATTGCAGAAAGGACCTGTGGCACTAAAGAATCCTGCAAGGCTTTTAAGTCTTGACGATCTGCCTAGGCGCAACCTCATCCACACCATCAGCAGCTTCGAGTCCGCGGAGCAGTGCTTGGATGCACATGGCCGAAGCCCACGGGACTTGGCGCGGCTTCTCCAGTGCCAAACGAAGAGTCTGAAAAGACGACGTATGAGCCCCTACTAATAGTCAGTCTTGTCGTATGCTGCTAATCTTGTGTTTAGACGATAGGAAAAGGCGAGGGAAGCTTCAAGGTAATAGGCACCAACCGCTGCAGCAAGTGTGCCGTTACTACTTGGCCCAATGACGGTGTTAATTGGCCTTCTACTAAAGAGAAACTGCTGGTTAGTAACCTAGTTTGATAGCCGAGGACGCATCTCCCAACTAAAATAGGCTCGAGTTGATTGCGGATTCTTAAACGGCACACCAGAGCAGTCTGCTTAGATGAACTCTGCTCGCAGGACAGTAACGGGCAGTGGTTGCAGTCTTGCGCCAACCAAGTACAACATTGCACCGAAGAAGCCAGACAGAATAAAGAACCCTAAACTGCTTACGAACGAGGACAAGAGGCACTTCTCTGACAACTATTGCCTATGCCACTCTTATCGTAGCGGGAGTGAAGAAGATGGAAATAGCAAGATAATCAGAGGATAAAGAGCCTTGGGATGGATCAGAGACCAGTATTGTTTCAAGATCTAGCTATGTGACTTGACTTTCTGACCAATGATACAACACGGAAATCAGCTGTATTGTAATTTTGGAGGTACTACCTCGTCTTGGGACGACATTGTTACACATCGGACACTAGGAACGGTATGCAGCACATTGGCTTCATGAAATTGACTCCAGATTAGCTTATCCTCGTTCAACCGTATCGGCAGACGAATCGACGGTTCGAAACACACGGCAACAACTTCCCGAGTCCCTGTTGCCAACTACCTAGGTAGTCACCAAGCATCGTCAACATGTGACATGGCCCCAAAAACTTCCCTTTACATCATCTTCTCAACAATTTGAACACGCAGACGTTGCACAACGACTCAGAAAACCTTTCCCCCGCACTGAGCACAGAATGGTGTTGTAGTAGCATTGCCGCAGTTGCCGCAATAGCGCGCCGTCTCCCCGTATTGCATCGGGACAGGCTCGACGTTCTGATAGACCGGAGCAGGAGCCTGCGACTTTGTCGGATCCTCATTGTAAGGCTGCTGGAAGTAATTCTGCGGCGGCGCGGCATAAGCGCCGTTCACGGGCGGCGGGTTGACGTAGGTGACGGTCGTCGATGGCTGGGCCCGGTTCCTCCCCTTTACACACCAAACGATGAGAAGAATCCAGGCGGTCAACTTGAGAAGACTGGCAATGACGAAGCAGGCTATGGCGCCATACCAGTTGCCGTCGGTGTAATAGGCGTAGCCGTCGAAGCTGGCAGCCCATGCGCCCATGAGACCTCCCCCAATGATGAAGAAGATGATGGCAGCGATGAAGAAGGAGACGGGCCACCAGCGTGACATGCCTCGTCTCGCAGGGACATGTTGCTGATGCACAATTGTTTGGCCCTGCGGGCTGACCATTTCGTATGCCATTTTGGTGATCAAGACGAATGATGGGGAGAGGGCAAAGGAGACGAGCTCGTCTTGGGGTCGGGGTGAATAAAAAGAGAGGCAAACTTCCTGTCGATTTTCCACAACCTAACCCTCCTCCTTCATAGTGAATCAGCTGCTACAACAGCTGAACTCGCAATTTCGGCTTGCGCGTTTATGTGCAATGGCGCCGGGAAGTCGGCACACATCCAGCCTTCTTGATCATCGTCGCCCATTGACCTTATTCGACCATTGGCAGGTTGAGGCGCCGCCACCATAACAGCTTGACAGCAGAACGTGGCAAGGGTAGCTGAGGCTGAGATGCAGGTTGCAGATGGCACAACCAGGAAGTATTCCTCCTTCGAGCTCCTCTTATGATCTTATCCATTGCGGCGGACCGCCACGGCTTCAGCCCTGCCTATAGTGAAGCCCATGGGGCGCTTCCTGGCTTGATTTGTATCGTCATTATTGGCGCCTCGACAATGGCCATTAGTCTCCATGTTGAATACGGAGCATTGAGATGCATACGGAGCAGCTTTCGGATCCCTCCTGCCAGCACGCAGATGCCTGTACGGGTCACTCTTCCCAGTTGATATTTTGCAATTCTGATGGATGAGTTGGGCAGCAGTGCTCCGTGCCGTCATGAGCGAGCCTATTTTTAGACGATGTGCTCCATGAGTATTTCGATTCGTCCAGTCTGTATATTGACCCCGGCCTGGGCCGTCCGAAGCGCCAGGATTGATCGCCTCAGCTAGGCAATTGCCGCTGGTTCTGGCTTATCAGCCAGCTTAAAAGCCGGGTGAAGCTAGACTTGACTTGGTACTGAATCGTGTCAGTGTCTCGACTTTCACTTACTCCGTGTACGGGGTAGTCGGTGAATAAACATGGTGTGCCCAGCTATTGATGCTGATGGACCTGAAGCGATTCAGCACTTGACAGCAGGAACATCGACATGCAGGCACGGGACATTTTTGGCCCACTAGGAAGGTGCCCACCACAAATTGCTCCACGACTTTTGCCCGTGTCACGTTCTGCTGCGAATCTACCAAAAGTGAAGGGCCCATCGTTCTTCCCTCCTCCCCACGAGCCTCTACCACTCTCTTCGTTCTCTCTCCCGACTTTTTTTTTTAAATCCTAGTTGACATCTTCCCAGTGACCAAAGACGGCAACTCAATCAAGTGGTGTATATTACGCTATGCAATTATATAAATAAACCAGACATGAATTTCATTCAAACGCTCGCCACGTCTACTCCTCCGAGACCAATTTGCCAGGCTGTTCCTGCCCTCCCGACGTAACCTTTGCCTCATCATCGGTCGTCGTCGTCTTGGAGACTGTCAGCACGGTCGGCAACACGATGACCAGGGAGCCGATACACATGCCCCAGTTCATGCCAAACTGGCTCATCGGAGCCACCTTCTGGGCATTGATACGCCACGCCATGGCACCACCAGCGGCCTGCAGAGACTTGTACGCCCCGACGAGGACGGCGGCGCGAGCCGAGCTGTTGGACTCGGTGCCAATGAGCCAGTATGCGTAGCCCTGCCACAGGGCGTCGTAGGCGCCGTAGAAGATGTACAGGAAGATGGGCCCGGTAGAGATACTCCCCTGCTTAAAGTCGACGTCCTGGCGATGGCCGGCGGCCAGCCGGGCGTCCTGCCACTGCTGGAAGCGGTAGCCTCCGCCCCAGATGGCCATGCCGGTGACGAAGACGGCGAGCCAGCCGAGCCTGGCGCGCATGGGGCGGTCGAAGCAGGGCAGGTCGAGGAGCAGCCCGATCAGGAGGCCGCCGAGCATCTGGGCCATCCAGTACAGGGCGCCGTTGAGGGAGCGGGTGCGGATGTTGAAGGTCTCGCCGTTGACCTGGTTCTGCTGGTAGCTGTAAAAGACGTTGGCCGAGTAGAAGAGCGGCAGCATGCAGAGGACGCGCCAGCGGGCAATAGTCTTGAAGGCGGTGGCGGCGGTGCCCGCGAGGGTGTGCTTCTCCGTCTCGACGGCCTTGTTGAGTTGGGCCAGGCGGATGCGGGAGGGCGAGCAGATGAAGACGCCGAGGGTCCAGCCGAACAGCATCATGACCATGAGGGCAATGTAGGTCGAGTCGGAGACGGTGCCGGACGTCGAGTTGTAGTTGAGGCCGAACGAGGCCAGCGAGCCGATGCCGCCGCCGAGGTTGAAGATGACCCAGAAGACGGCGATGGCGCGGCCCTTTTGCGCCTCGTCGACGTACGTCGTCATGATGGCGCCCTGGACGATCCAGACAAAGGAGGCGCCGACGCCGACGACGGCGCCGGATCCAATGACAAAGGCGCCGTTGCCCGTGTGGTTGAAGTTGAGCAGCGATCCGCTGTACAGGGCGTACGTCCAGCCGGCGATGAGAAAGCTGATGCGCGGCCCGAGGATGGAGAAGACGGGCCCGGCGACGGTCAGGGCCGTGGCCGCCGTGGCCGAGAGGAGAGCGACGGTGGCATTGGCGGCAACGGTCGAGTCGACCTGTCCTGAGCCGCCGAGTCCCGTGAGCGCATTGTACATCTAGGGGGTTCAACCTTGTCAGTCTTGTATTCCTGTGTCACGGGAGAAGACGCAAGACGCAAAACGTACCCCGGGCATGCAGAAGCAGATAAAGGAGATGAGCAGGATCTGCGTCCACGGGTGAGAGTAGAAGCGGACAATCTTGGAGGGATGCGGCTGGAAGCCCGTCTCCGTCTCCGGCTCCTCGGGGGACATGGCCCTTGGAGTCGTCGTGGTGTTGTCCGCGTCGTGATTATGAACCGCCGAGGGCTTCTGGTTCTCGGCCGAAGGTACACGATCCGCCTCGTGTGATGACTGTGCCATGGCGAATCCGCAGAGGGGAGGAGGGGACGGAGGGCGCAGCTACTGTGCAGAATCTGGGGAAAGGGGGAAGGAGAATAAAAAAAGAAATGGCTCTACGCTTTTTCTTCCCAGGACGAGCATGGGAGCGCCCCCAAATCTCGGGGTTACAATGGATCATATATCAAGGGCGCCCGACAATCTATGTAAACAGGGGATCTTGCATATCAGAAGCCCTGGCGTAGACCCTCGGCGCGCCCCCAAGCTTGGCAAACTTGGCACTTGGGCATTTGATGGTATTCATGGGCGATTTCCATCAAGTCGTTGCGACAAGGCCGTTGGAATGGGCGCGCAGGTCTGCAAATCCTCACACGTTACATGGTGGCGCTCAACTCCACAGCCGGGTCAACTGGCCTGGTTGCAAGCGGAGCCCGGGGGTAAGCTTGTTTATCCATGTTTGGTCTTGACTCGTGTGATCAAAGACCTTTTGCCGTGGATGGGGGCTCGCTCGTGTGGTGACGATTCCTCTTGGCCGCCTCGCTCTCCCACGGGGGAACTGGAGTCCAGAGGGCGACTTGGAGGTTCAATGTTGCGGGGTGCGTTTTGAGGGGGCGGAAGGGATGGTTCTATTTCGGTGCGGTGCGTTTGCCGGCGGCCATGAGGCAATAAATTATGCATGTAGGTACGTGCAAGGCTGTCGAGGTTGTCAAGGTCCAAGGGCTGATGTCGGCGAACGGAGCAATCGTGCCCGAAAAAGGCAGTTTTGTCGGGCGCCACGTCCGCCCTCACGCCGTTACTGTTTGTGTCTGTGGGATTCAATGTTTTCTGACTGGGCCTCGTAGACTCATTGCAGTTGGCGCTACATACGGAGCATCACATACTCGTAGCGTGGTTGAGCTGGGCCCCTGACCGTCGGGGTTCGTCAGGGTTTGGGTGTTGGTAGTCGGTCGTATCTCGAGTCACTTGTGCGATTTTTTTATTCTTTTCCTTGTGTGTTTTTTTCTTTAACTTTTGGCTTGATTCCGGCTAGCAACTACAAAAAAAATGACGGCCCCATTAGCCGGCCTCCAAACCGAGACGAGAAACCCTCAGACGACGGCCATCGATCGCGTTTCCACCGAGACGCTCTGTCGGATTCTGCACAGCCAAGACGCCGGAATACCTGCCGCCGTCGAGCCATGCATCCCCATCATTGCGCAGGCCATTGACACGCTTGCCGAGCGGCTCCGCGCCGGCGGTCGCGTTTTCTACATGGGCGCAGGCACAAGCGGTCGGTGAGCTTCATTCTCCTGACGACTCACGAGCCCCGGCCACACCCAGAGCTGACCCTCGCCTCAACAGGCTCGGCGTGCTTGACGCGTCCGAGATCCCGCCCACCTACTCGGCGCCTCCCGGCCAATTTGTGGCTCTCATCGCCGGCGGCGACGAGGCCCTCCGGCACGCAAAGGAGGGTGCCGAAGACAGCCGGTCCGGCGCCGAGGCCGACCTCGAGGCGCACGGCTTTGATCCGCAGGTCGACTCGCTGGTTGGAATCGCCTCTTCCGGACGGACGCCCTACGTCCTGGGGGGACTGGAGTACGTCCGGAGGGCCGGCGGCGTCACCGTGGGCGTCGTCTGCGTCGAGCCGTCGGCGGTGGCGAGCGAGGGCAACGCCCAGTATCTCGTGGCCGCCGTGACGGGCCCCGAAGCCGTGACGGGCAGCACGCGCATGAAGGCCGGCACGGCGACCAAGCTGATTCTCAACATGATGAGCACCGGCATCATGGTCAGGCTGGGGAAGACGTATGGCAATCTCGTGAGTCCCGTCTGGCCTGGTGTGCACTTCAACTTGGTCCCGGCAAATGGCGACATTGAAATTGCCTCTTTCGGATGGTATAACAAGCAACTGACCTGTGATTCTGTGAGACCAGATGGTGGATCTGCGAGCAACCAACATCAAGCTGCAGCAGCGGGCAAGGAATATCCTGAGGCTCATTGGAGGCCCGCGCTGCACGCAGTCTGACGAGGAGCTCGGCCGCATCCTGCACGAGTGCCACGGCAGCGTCAAACTCGCCGCCGCCACTATTGTGTTGGGCGTGCCGGTTGCTGACGCCGAAGCCCGTCTCCGGCAGCACGGGGGCCTTCTCGCGAGGGTGATTGAAGAGCATGAGGGCCAGCAAGCGGCTACGGACGAAGCACAGGACGACGGGCTTGTCCTCTGCGTGGACGCCGGCGGCACGAGCTGCAAGGCCGTCATCATGTCCAGGGACGGTGTTTCTGGGTGCGGCGCAGCAGGGCCGTGCAACGTGTAAGTGGCGTCATTCATCATTAATGTCTTCAATGTTAGCAATCGACGCGCGGTCGATGTATTGCGCGCCTGGCTAACTTCTCTGCGTCTCGCGGTAGGTCGAGCATCGGGCTGGATGCAGCCATGGCCTCCATGTCGCAGGCGATCCAAGAGGCGGCAGACGACTGCCCCGTGACCAAGGGTCGCAAGTTTGGCCACATGACCTTTCAATCGGTATGGATTGGCATCGCCGGATACGAGCGGCCGGCTCTCGCGCAGTCACTCGGCGACGCAGTCTGTGGGCTTGTCAAAACGCCGCCTGGGACGCGGCCACGCATCACGGCCGACACGGACCTGTTGTCCGCGTCCATGTCTGTGAAACGGGACATCGACTCCGTCATCGTCCTTGTCTCTGGCACCGGCTCCATCGGCACCAGCTTCAGACGAGCCGGGCTGGGCTTCCAGCGCACCGCGCGTGTCGGCGGATGGGGCCATTTGCTGGGCGATGACGGCTCGGGCTACAGCATCGGACGGGAGGCCCTTCGCAGGGCCCTGCGAGAAACAGACGTTTATCGGATGACCCATGATGGAGCGACTACTGCTGCTTCCCCGGCGCCATCTCTGTCTCCGCTGTCACAGGCTATCTTCAGGCACTTTGAGCATCAATATCCCGCCAGTAACCCCGGTGATCTCCTCAGCGCCATCGTCATGCCCTTCTCGGGGCTTGGCGCGGCAGAAAATGCCTCTTTGGGCACGACCAAGCGTATTGCCGGGGTTGCCAAGATTGTCTTGTTCATGGCCGCTGCGGGCGACGACGAGGCAAAGAGCCTCGTGGCCGGCGGGACTGCGAGTCTGGCTGAGCTGGTGACGCTGTTGGTAAGGGGCCAGGGCATGGACGTGTCGAGATGTGGACTCGTCTTGGCGGGCGGCCTGATGCAGAGCGAGCTGTATAGAGACGCTCTGCTTGATGCTGTCAGGAAGCAGCTTGGGGAATTTGGCCAAAGTGCGACTGTGAAGCAGCCCGCGTTTGATGGCGCCGAGTTGCTCGCAAAGGGGTTGTAGGGCCGCACTTGGATATATTGGACCAGCATTTGACTCAATACTAGATATTACGCACCGAGATGATGGGGCATTTGGGTGTACTATACTCCGTACGCAGACAGATGCTGGCATTTTAGATAATACAAACGGAGGCTGTATCCTATCCAGTAGAGACGAAACTCCAAGACGCGACAGACTCACACACCAAGGAGCACATTCTATCTGCACATACAACATCGCCATGCTCGCAGACGGCCGTTGTAACGTTCGCCCAAGGTGGACTCGTCCCAACATTAAAGCCAAAACTGCCACCCCTGCCGTGTATTGGCCTTTTTGTCCTCTGCATGTCTCGGCTGAGACTCCATCATCTCCACTGTCGTTCCACCGTGCGTCGAGAACATCTTTATCTTTTCCGTATCGACCCCACCATGGGGCCCATTGCCCAGCGTTTTGCAAGGTGCCATTGATGGAACTTTTTTCCCGGGCGTCTTTTCCATCAGCCAGTCATTGCTCCGGAACGAACGGAAGAAGATACGGAGCAGTTGGGGGTCATCGCTTGTCGTCTTCCCCAGAGTGTCGAGTTGTGCGGATATTGCGCGTCTAGTCTGGGGTGCGTGCCAACGAAAAAAAGTCTGGCAGATTGAAGGGGGAGCTGATCGGCAGTTTTTATCAGTTCGTTACTTTTGCGCAAACCCGGAGGCTTGTAACGGACCGCAGGTTTAGTAGTCCTCCAATGTTTGCTGTTCTGCATGGAACATTGGCAGATTACGAGACGAGCCACGATGGAATTGATCTCTTTGATAGACTTGGGTCCCTGAACAGAAAAGACAGTACTAGTATCAATAGTCTTTTCCCCGAAACACGTGACGAACCAAGGTTGTCAATTGACAAAAGACAAGGTACATGGATGGTAGTAGTACTAGTAGTATATTGGCCAATAGGCAAAGAGGCTGTGTTGGCAACCGGGCCCCGTCCTGGGAGTCTTCATTACCAAAAGTTCTTTAGGATGTGGCTATCGAGCCAGACTTTGACGGCGATTGCCGACAAAGAAGGCACTTCTAGAACAAAATCCAGTACACATGTACCCTGCCCCGATGTGCCGAGAGGCGCTGCATTGAAAAGGGCCATCTTGGCGTTGCACGCAACCAGACATTGGAAACATCGCCGACCACCCCATTTACCGCTGCTATTGTGTTTCGTGTGCTGCTGGCGAGACCATTGATTGTTTTGCAGCCCTGAGATGGTTTGGAAAATGTCAAGGTCTGCTTGTGTGCGACTCGCTCACTGCCGCACGGCCAACCCATACAATTGCTAGTCATGCTAGTCGTTCCAAGATTGTGCGTCCATCTTGGCATCTGTACGGAGTACACAGCCTACAGATGCTTCAAGATAAGGCCTTTTATTGCCGTGTCTCGTAAATGCACAAATACAGCAATTTCCTGCATTTCAAACGCCGTCGCTATGCATACACAGACCTAATCATGCGCATGATAATGCCAGTCACCTAGTCCCCTTGGCCCTCGGTCCCTCCCTTGATTCCTTCCAAAATGCCGGCCCATTGCCCGCTAGGTCGAACTTTGGCCACGTATGAGAACCGATCACAGGCAATCTTGCGAATCAGCAGCGTGTCCTTGGCCCTCTTCAACGTCCTTCCCTCACCCGTTGTGAGGTATTCTTCGAACCAAGTTTCTTCCAGCGAATCAAAAGGCATAAACGCCAGTTCGCTCGTGCGGCTGGGCAAGTCGTCGCCACCGCCATTATTGAGCACACATGAGATCCATCGGCGGAACAATTGTTCTCTGGTGTGTTGCGGGTGCGTGCGCGAGTATAGAAGCGCCTGTGTGACATTCGTGCGAGCCATGGCGTCGTAGAGAAGCTCAAGAGCAACCGGGGACTTTAAAATTGGCTGCACCGAGTAGAAATACGACAAAGCGAGAGTGTAGTCCTGGTCTGACGCCTGCTTGATCAAGGCAATGATGATGTCGTCGGCGAAATCAGGATTTAATGACGGATGCGCGACGTATTCAATAGCTCTCTGCACCATCATGTGAGTAAGAGAGAGAGAAAAAGACCTCTCAGGAAGTGTTCAGGTAGTCTTACAGAATACTCCTCTCTATCCATGTGCCATAGGCCTTTCATAAAGAGCTGGTAGTTAGCCGGCATGCCAGACAAGCTGGCAAAGCTCTCTGATACAAAAACCTCTTTGCTCGCATCGTCAAAATCCAGGAGGATATAGTAAAGGAGGGAGAATTTGTGGTGCATCGACATTCCCGCTTCGCAGATTTGCTGATGTAATTGTCGGAGCGCATTCTCGGTCTTTGGGGGATACACCTTGGCTGTAATGGGCAATATTGTCAGCCAGGCCATTCTTAAACAGAGCTCCGTAGGCGCCAGATCCAATCCAATATGGCTCACCTTTGGAAATACCAAGCGCTCGCATTACTCGGTCAATGAATAAGACATCATCGGCATTCTTGCGATGCGCTTCAATGTCGTGTTGCAGCCTGCGATCGTACGGGAGCTGAACTTCCGTGGGAAAGACATCGTGAAAGCTAGTATAGTTGAACATGGCTTCTGCCAAGGTATGCCCAGGGGCCCGTGATGGTTTATTTGCAACCCGAGTTCTGTCCGAATATTGGAGTAGTTAAACCAGGCAATTCGCCGAGCTTGGGTACTGGAACGAGACTCAAAGAACAAGGCATCTTGACGCGCTGTCACGTGTGACTGTCTAGTCGCCGCGAGGGTGTGGCGTCGTGGCTGACGGACTGTGTGGCTGCACTTGCATTGTTTACAAACGACCCTTTGGGACATTTCCAAACAATAGCTGGCAACGCGGGGCGACGACAACCACTTGGATCTAAACCTCAACTCACCATTAATTGCGCCGTGTCTACGCGACCGTTGCTGTGCCCATTCAGGAAGTCCAGGAGACTTTCACATTCCGCTACGAGGGCAATTCCACTTTGCAATTTTCTTTTTTTTTTTTTTACCTCTACACGACACCTAGATATCTGCCGTTCGCTCGTGCGGCTCCCACACAAAATGTCGGCCGCTGCCCCAACGAGGCCATCAAGACGCGCCGCGATGAGGCGAGCGGCTATTATCGACTCCGATGACGAGGATGAAATCGGCAATACAACAAAGATACGCGCTGATGACGAAGCCGAATACACTCCTGAAGCTTCGAGGACAACTCGACGCCAAACTCGCGGTGGGCGGTTGTCTGTCGCGCCTGGTTCCGCACCTACACGACGAAGATCGCGCGTCAAGAAGCAGTCCATCGCATCCACTGAGCCAGATGAGCTTGAAGGAGGGCCGGACTCAAGCCATGCTGTTGATGCCGATACCACCATTCAACAAACCGCTCAAACGCCTCCCAAAAAGCCATCACCGAGAAAGAGGAAGAGCGCTGCGCCTAGAGCATCGATTGCTCCCACAGAAGACCTGGCGCCACCAGTACCAAAGCAGCCCGAGCCTTTCGAAGGACCCCAGGCTCACGGATCACCGCTGGCAGACATCACGGCTGTCAGCGTGAATGCGGCGCAAAATGTCGAGGAGACACAAGCCAACGTCAAGCCTATCAAGCCGTTTGATTCCATCATGGATAAGCCTCTAGATATCATACTCAAATCCCGAACCACAACAATCCCATTTGTTGAGGAACCATCAACGTCCCCCAAGTCTCGGATTGTGTTGACTCATTTGATTTTGAACAACTTCAAGAGTTACGCTGGCCGTCAAGAGGTCGGCCCTTTTCACGCCTCGTTTTCATCTGTCGTTGGGCCCAATGGTTCTGGCAAGTCCAATGTCATTGACTCCCTGCTTTTTGTGTTTGGTTTCAGGGCCAGCAAGATGCGCCAGGGTAAAATCTCGGCTCTGATTCACAATTCTGCTCAGCACCCAAACTTGGAGTATTGCGAAGTTGAAGTCCACTTTCAGGAAGTCATTGATAAGCCTACCGGCCACGAGATTATCCCCAATTCGAAACTCATCATTTCTCGAAAGGCCTTCCGCAACAACACGAGCAAATACTACATCAATGGCAAGGAGTCCAACTTTACGACTGTCACGACATTACTCAAGAACCATGGTGTCGATTTGGATCACAAGCGATTCTTAATTCTTCAAGGAGAAGTCGAATCAATTGCTCAAATGAAATCAAAGGCCGCTAACGAGCACGAGGACGGCTTGCTTGAATACCTCGAGGATATTATTGGCACCTCCAAATACAAAACTCCTATTGAAGAGTCGGCCGCTGAGGTCGAAACTTTGAACGATGTGTGCATGGAGAAGAGCGGGCGTGTGCAACATGTCGAGAAAGAGAGGAACAGTCTCGAGGATAAAAAAGACAAGGCTCTCGCGTACATACGCGACGAAAACGAGCTAACCATGAAGCAATCCGCTTTATACCAGCTTTTTATTCACGAATGCAATGACAATATTACTGTCACCGAGGAAGCAGTCAACCAGATGCAAGCCCAGCTCGATGCAGAACTTGAAAAACACCAAGGCAGTGAGCAGTTCATCAAGGACCTTGAAAAACAGTACACAAAGGGAACCAAGGAAGTTGAAACACAAGAGAAGCAAACCCAAAGCCTTGTCAAAGAACTAGCAAAGTTCGAACAGGAGCGCGTCAAGTTCGATGAGAAGCGCAAGTTCCTTGTCGAAAAGCAGAAAAAGCTCGAAAAGACTATTAATAACGCTCAAAACGCAACCAACGAAGCAGACGAAACTATTGAGGAAACCAAGCAAGATATTGAGACCCGAACACAAGAAGTCGCTGACCTCGAGTCCCAAGTCAAGATCGAGGAAGCCGAGCTGGCCAATATCCGAGAAAGCCTCAAAGGCAAAACTCAGGCTTTCTCCGATAAAATCGCAGCCAAGCAGAAGACTCTCGAACCTTGGATGGAGAAGATTAATCAAAAGCAGTCTGCTATTGCTGTGGCCGAGAGTGAAATGAACATCCTCAAAGAAAAGGCAAATGCTGGCGCTGTCGCAATCGAAGAGCTTGAGGGCAAGATTACCACTATCGAAACGGACAAAGCGGCCAAGGCCAAGGAACTCAAGGCTTGCGAAAAGGAGAAATCCGAACTCCAGAAAGAGGCTGAAAAAATGAACTCTGAGCTCGCAATTTTGGCTCAGCAAGAGCCCAAGATCCAAGCCAAGATTTCTAATTCACGACAAAAGGCTGACGAGGCTCGTTCGAGTCTAGCAAGTACGCAGGCTCGTGGCAATGTTCTCACAGCTTTGATGCGCATGAAAGAATCTGGCCGAATTGATGGTTTCCACGGACGTCTTGGCAATCTAGGAACCATTGACCAAAAGTACGACGTTGCGGTTTCAACGGCCTGCTCCGCGCTCGACAATTTCGTCACCGAGTCGGTTGAGTCTGGTCAGCAGTGCATCGAGTATCTAAGAAAGAATAACTTGGGTCGTGGCAATTTTATATGCTTGGACAAGCTCAGATCACGAGACATGTCTCCTATCCAGACACCAGAGAACGCACCACGCCTGTTTGATCTGGTCAAATCCAAAGACAAGTTCCGTCCAGCTTTCTACCACGCAATGCAGGACACATTGGTCGCCAACGATTTAGCCCAAGCTAATCGTATCGCATATGGAGCCAAGAGATGGCGGGTAGTGACCTTGGCTGGTGAGCTCATCGACAAGTCCGGCACTATGTCTGGCGGCGGGACTACTGTGAAGAAGGGACTGATGTCTTCCAAGATTGTTGCAGATATCAGCAAGGAGCACGTTGCCAAGCTCGAAGAGGATCGAGATCAATGGGAAACCAAGTTCCAAGAGTTCCAAGAGTATCAGCGTGAATGCGAGGGTAAGCTCAAGGACCTCAATGAAAAAATCCCTCAGCTCGAGACAAAGATGCAGAAGCTTGGCCTCGAGATTGAAAGCGCTACACGCAATCTTTCGGATGTAAAGAAACGTATCAAGGAAGTCAGCCAAGAGCATCAGCCATCAACATCCGACTCATCTCGTGTCGCCGCTTTGGAGAGGGAGGTTGCGAAGCTAAATGGGGAAATTGAGCAACTTCGTGGGGAGACTGCCAGTGTGGAGGAAGAGATCAAAGCTCTGCAGGAGAAAATCATGGAAGCTGGTGGAGAGAAGCTGCGAAGCCAGCGTGCAAAGGTTGACGACCTCAAGGAGCAAATCAACTCTCATAACGAAGAGACGTCGAATGCGGAAGTCCGCCGAGTCAAGGCCGAGAAACAAAAAGTTAAACTTGGAAAGGACATGGCCAAGGCCAATAAAGAGTTGGAGAACGCAGTGAGAGAGCTAGAAAACCTTGAAGCCGATGTCAACAACCAGGGCGAGAAGTCGGACGACCTCAAGGCTCAGGTTAAGGAGGCGGAGGCGGATTTGGCATCAAAAAGGGAAGAGCTCAGGGCCTTCAAGAAGGAGCTTGATGCCAAGACAGCGGAGCTTAACACAAGTCGTGCCGTGGAGATTGAAATGCGAAACAAATTGGAGGAGAACCAAAAGACTTTGGCTGAGAATGAAAAAAGACATCGATACTGGGAAGACAAGCTGTCAAAACTAGTCTTGCAGAACGTTGAGGACCTCGTTGGTGCGCCCAGCCCTACCGAACAAGCTGCTAAAGCTGAGCAGCCCGAAAAGGAAGAAGACTCCTCGACATCCAACGAAGACATTGAAATGGCCGAATCTGAAGCGGAGGAAGCTGAAGATGCCAGCATGGCCGATGCATCTACAACAGAAAAGTCAACGGAAGGTGGTTCAAACAACCCACCTTACGAACTACCCAGATACACACCCGACGAACTGGCTGACATGAGTAAGGAGACCTTGAAGGGCGAGATCGCTGCACTGGAGGAGAAGACACAGAACGCCAGCGTCGACCTTGGGGTTTTGGCCGAGTACCGCCGCAGAGTAGAGGAACATGCGGCTAGGTCCTCAGATCTACAAGCAGCAATCAACCAGCGAGACGCGGCCAAGAAGCGTTGTGACGACCTCCGAAGACGACGATTGGAGGGCTTCATGGAGGGTTTCAGCGCCATCTCGCTTCGCTTAAAAGAGATGTACCAAATGATCACAATGGGCGGTAACGCAGAACTGGAGCTTGTGGACAGTCTTGATCCATTCAGCGAAGGTATCCTTTTCAGCGTGATGCCACCCAAGAAAAGCTGGAAGAATATCGGCAACTTGTCTGGAGGTGAAAAGACGTTGAGTAGCTTGGCTCTAGTCTTCGCCCTGCATCACTACAAACCTACACCACTGTATGTCATGGATGAGATTGATGCCGCGTTGGATTTCAGAAACGTAAGTCGACTTCTTCAACCAGAATGATGTAATGCTCCATGTTCTAATGATGTTTGACAGGTCTCCATCGTTGCCAATTATATCAAGGAGCGAACCAAGAATGCTCAGTTCATCGTCATCTCATTGAGGAATAACATGTTCGAACTTGCGGCTCGTTTGGTCGGAGTTTACAAGGTCAATCACATGACCAAGAGTGTTACTATTGAGAACAAGGATTATATCGACCGACCACAGCCACAACCACAACAACGACCGCAGCCAGGCACTGGTTTCACCACAACCCTGGCCCTCAGATGAGGACGACGTAATGGGAGATGAGAACGAGATTCTGCATGTTCTTTGTACATAATGGAATTTGGGAACTGGACTGGGTAGATATTTTGATGACGGGTCATGATAGCAAAGGTTGCCATGGTGTTTTATGTAAATTTTTTTGGATGGCGGAAACGGAGCATTCATCATATTGAAACTATAGAGAGCGAGAGTGGATGTAATTGCCTATTTTCAACTTGCCTCTGTCTACATTCAGGGAGACGCAAGGCCATGCAGCTCGATTTCCGCTCTCAACAGGTCCTCGCATGTCGTACGGTCAGAGTCACGATCCTGTTCCAGCTCTTTGCCTTGGAAGCCGAGTGGCTCGAGTTGGAGATGCCAAGTTGGGATCTGAGAGTCACACTCAAAGTCGAGTAACACCCGTGGCGTTCATAGCCATGTGGGTGTTGCAAATATCAGACAGTTTGAGTGGCTGATGTATCGCTTTGCTTCAATCCAACGTGGTACACGGTTCAGCTGGGCAACGGCAGGGTACACCATCGAATAGCAGAGTACGGGATCTTCTCCCGAGACTCCATCGCTAAGCATACTCGGACAAGCGAGTTGTAATATAAGTCAGGCTCGTGCTTGGCTAGCGAGCGTCGAAGATGGCGTACTCTGAAACTAAACCACGAAATGAAGGAGGCGAGGAGACTCATTTCTAAACAAGTCTCTTGTGACCCGATGGGAAATATATAATGGAATAACCAGCATCGGCTGGGCGCGACACTGTTGTCGAGTCTCCAACTTGGCTGTGTCGAATCGGCCTTTCCAGTCACTCTTTACCATGTGTTATTCCGCCATGCTTCTCTTCTTCATTCTCGCTCTTCTTCACGCCGTTTCGGTCTTTGCGAGCGGTAACATTGTGCTTGTTTGTACGAAAGACGCTCTTTACAGCTCTCTGTACCAGAATGGCCGGCAGTTTTGTTCGTCTGTCCTTGGCAAGCCGCCCTGTGAGGTTGTGACGCCAACGGCTTACGCGACCTATGACCCGGCTGTGATTTCTTCCCGCGTATGTATTTCCTTGGAGAGTCTATTGTATGCAGCGTTTCTAAGTTGAGCATAGTGCAGCTGTGTATTGATGGACAAATGTCTTCCTCGCCCGACGGACAGCTCCTCAACGACAACCCGAGCGGCCAGCTCGACTGTGTCTTCTACATCGAGCTCACATCTTAGTCGTAATAGGACTTGCTCCGACCATGCTACTTCGACTGCTGCAGGTGGGACGAGCTCGACTAAGTGTGCTGCTTCGCATACTGTGTCATCAAGCTCGAACCGGACTACGGTAGACATAGATTCAACGGCGGTCTACACCTCCTCGTCAGTGTCAACCTCGTACATGTATACCAATAGTTCTTCGAGCATTTCCTACTCAAATACAACCAGCTCGGTTTCACCAACCGCTACAGTGTCAAGCGTTCTCTCTGGAATAACTTCCAGCTCCAGTTCAACGCACTCTCTCAACTCATCCACCAGCAGTGTCACACACTCGACAGATACTCAAAGCAGCTTTAAACCTTGGTCTTCATCACAGTCCAGCTCCACGAACGGTACCTCGAGCAAGACCTCAATCTCGTCAACTTCAGATAGTGTGACTGATTCGTGGCTGCTTCCAACCATTACTCTTACTCCGATTCCTAGTGCAAACATTTCAACGGTGCATTTGACCCTTCCAGGATCGAGTTTGTTGTCCACTTCTACAAATGCGACTTCTACCGTCAACAGGACGGTTCCAGTGTCTCTATTAACGCATGATTCCACGTCCGGTAGCATTAGTTCCAAGACGTCGTCATTGCTTGTTTCAACAATCAACACGACTACAACACAGACTCTTTCCAAATTGAGCACCTCTGCGTACATCTCAACCTCAGCTTCCACTACTTCCTCGCCCTCTCTTTCAGTTGCCAACTTTACGCTAGTGACCCGTACAGCGGCAATCGCAGAGGAGACTTGCTACCAGTTTCCCCAAGATCCGGATGCCGGAAACAAAGATCGCAGCGCAACCTTGCATAATGACCAAGTCGCGGAGCGAAATATTACGCTTCCTTCCCCATATATCGAGTCGGTATTCTTCGACTCGGCTGGGATCGATCCAATCTTTCTCACGTTGTGGGACGCATTGAACGGAACCTACTACATGGACGTGTCTAACAGAAGTCGTGTATCTATCATGGACTCTCAAAAGAATTCGATGCTCATCGACGCGAATGGGATTCATTTCTCTACCAACACCTGTGCATTCGACGTTTCCATCACCATCCAAGACATGTACGAGCAGTTGGAAAGTCTTTCGGGCGAAGTTTGCGCCAAGTCCATCTCCAACAAGCGCTCCATGGAAGAGTCCAGCTTCGAACAAGTCCTTTTTCTCAAGGATCAATGCGGAAACGGCATCAAACGGGCCCTCCGGACATATCCTACCCTCAGTGTTGGCGATTCGGACTGCATGGACACAGAGGTGGACTCATCCACAGGCAAGTGGACTTTTCTGTGTCCATTCCCTGGCTCAGATTCTGGAAATAGTAGGTGTCGCGCCTCCGTAAACAACGACATTGTTCGGTTCTTGTTCACGGATCCATTCGGCGAAGCCTGTCCCGACCTGTCCACGGTGGCGACCACTCTCGCAGCCACGGCTCGAGATTTTCTCAACGAGCATTCCCTCGAAGAGGAGCTATATCAGCTACCTCTCAGTGGGACGCAAAAGAGCCAAGTTGACGCCACGGTCAAAAAGTACGGCCAACTATGGAATGTCTTCAAACAGGCCTTGGCCAAGGGTACGGCGGGCACGCCTGGCCAAGGGAGCAGCACACTGGAGCAATACATCAACATGTACAACAAGTATCGAAGTTTCGAGGGTGACATCTGCAACGACTTGCATGCTGGCGATCTCCCGCTCAACATGAGCCTCCGAGCTGGTGTGACTACAATAGACTCGATTACGTCGCTGAAGGCAGCGCCGGAAAACCCCAAGCCATTCAACATTACTGTTCAAGACTCGAATCAAATAGCTTGCTGTAAAAACGGTAGCAAGTCTTCGTTGAATAGGCCCCGGGGAACCTGCTCGTATCCGGAAAACGCCACTGTTGGGGATTCAGATTGTGTTTGTGGACAGACTCCGGGCGGTGACGCCATCGCGTTTGAGTACATGGAGTGCGCCAACTTTGTGAGCCGGTGCACGTCCGATGATGATTGCGCAAAGGCGGGATATAAGACGTACAAGTGTCTTACTGGAAGTTGCTGCGGAGGAGGTGTTTGCTTTGATCCCTACGCTTGTTCGCAGAAAGGGGTACCGTTGATTTGAGTTGGTGTTGAGTCTATAGGGTATTCCCATCTATGTAGGCACTGTAGACGACCACTTGTTCCAATTAATGAGATGCGTGTGCGCAATTTCAAACCGGAGCCTGTCCAATGTCACAAAAAGGTTGAGTCGAATATCTTTTGCATTTGACAAGCAAGACATATTTTTTCTTTGGGGTCGGTTCTGAGGGTATACTGTACTGCCCAAACAACATCCCTTTGCTGTACATATATGTTTTTCGATCCGGTAATCAACCGAACCAGCGAGCAGCCCAACTTGCAACATCAAGTAAAGCCAACTCAAAGACAGCAGCGCATCCATGGCGTGGAATTCACAACACTACTATTAGCTCTCCCTCATTGCATCGAGGAAGCATACCAGTCACAGTTCAAACGTGAAAGAGACGACAACAGTTCACATCAACGACAAGAAACGTAGTCCGATTTGAATTTGGAATCTCCCTAGACTCTCAACCCTAGTTGTTCATCTAATCCTTTTTACTGAATGCAGACGTAAAACATCACCAGACTCCATCCCAATCATGAAACCCACTCAAGCCTTAGGTGCAGTAGGGGTGATCTTCTTGCCGTCCTTGTTGTAGCGGACACGCGGTGGGGGAGCACGGTTGCGGCGGCCCACGCGAGATCGGACACTGCCAAGCACAAAAATCATGTCAGTCATGCACATCGTAAAGAAACGTACCGGGTCATTTGCGTCATGGCGAATATGAGGGGGGAGTGTATCCAATTGCTGGTGTACGGCCAAGGTTCATCTGAAGCACATACGCCGAGGCGCAGTTGTCACACTCCCGGGAAAGACAACGTACCGGACAATCTTGCCGTGGATAGCGCAAGAGACGCAGTACTGCAGTTTCAGGTACATCTTGGGAACCGTGTACTCGGCGAAGACAGAGGCATCCGAGATATCACCTGCCGAGGATTGTTAGCACTATTGCCCGATTGAAAAAAAAAAGGCACCAAGATCGTCTCCGTGTGAATTGACCAGAGGCAACAATCACACGTGAGATAATGGCGGGGATTAAACGTACGGATAGCGGCAGACTCAACCATGTTGCGGATGGTGAATCTCTTGATTGCCTTATCCTTGGGGGTGCAGCGAGAGCAGTTGCTGCATCGGATGGGCTTGACGTGGCCGCGGCCCTTCTTGTTGCGGCCGCTGAGATGGCGTTAGTAAATGGTCTGGAGAGAATTGCCCCATCGCGCGTCTCTTGTTATTTCGCGCGCAAAAGCAACATCGTCTCTTATCGAGAGCTTGTGTCCATTGGCAGCGAGGTGGTGACCCAGGTGGAGGTGGAGAGGATGAGGGAGGATTCGTACTTGTTCTTTCTCTTCTTGACCATTTTGACGGTGTCTGTTGCGAGTCTGTCAATACCAAGCAACGAGTTGTCGAGAGAGGTGCGGGTTGGACGTACTGGAATTGGTTGACAGTCAAAAAGATTGAGGATGATGTGCAAAAGTCACGGCTGGTCTCGCTTGCCAGTCAGAAAAGCCCCGGGGCTCCACACAACTGGGTAAATTCGTTTTACGGGGCGCACAGTGAAGGGCAAGCGGTTGGCGAAAACCCTAGGTCATGTGACCTTAGCTCGCCTCCCACTCCCCGCCAGTGGGAAATTTCTCAGCGTGCGGCCACTCCACTTGCAGAGCGTCTTTCTCACCATCGCAACATCTGAGGATTGCTTAGGACGGCAATAGGTCTATTGTCGAGGTACGTCTGAAAGATGCTGCATTTCCCATCGGCCTCAACGATGGATGCATCAACGATGCGTCCGTCTTGAGAGTTGAATTTCCATTTGCATTTTCTGATCCCCCGCTGCTTTCTTCCGTGATGGCCGCTGGTTTCAATATCACACTTTTTTTTTTAATTGTTGGGTATTGACCGGCGGCCACGACGAGAAATGCACCACATCGCGAACACGCCACACTCAACCTCGGGAAAATATTGTCAACTCTAACCCGTCCAGTTAGGCAAGATGCAGATTTTCGTCAAGACCCTCACGGGGAAGACTATCACCCTTGAGGTGGAGTCTTCCGACACTATCGACAATGTCAAGTCCAAGATCCAGGACAAGGAGGGCATCCCCCCTGACCAACAGCGACTCATCTTCGCTGGTAAGCAGCTCGAGGATGGCCGCACCCTGAGCGACTACAACATCCAGAAGGAGAGCACCCTGCACTTGGTGCTGCGCCTGCGTGGTGGTGGCAAGAAGCGCAAGAAGAAGGTCTACACCACCCCCAAGAAGATCAAGCACAAGCGCAAGAAGACCAAGTTGGCTGTCCTCAAGTACTACAAGGTCGACAAGGACGGCAACATTGAGCGTCTCCGACGAGAGTGCCCCAGCGACACCGTAAGATCCCCCCCTTCAATGCGGTACTATTGCGTCGCCGCTAACAACTCACTATAGTGCGGCGCTGGCGTCTTCATGGCCTCCATGCCTGACCGTCAGTACTGTGGCCGATGCCACTTGACCTACGTCTTTGACAAGCAGTAAGCGCACGATCATGATTTCTGCTTTGGAGTGGGCTGTTCATGGGAGGGGAAAACGTGTAATGCGAAACAAAATTGGGCGTTGATGTAGCATAGAGCACATCCGGGCTTTGATTATGAATGCTTGACTGAGACTACGGTTAACTGGTTTATTTCTGTTCACATCTTCAAGGTGCTATCGTGATGTAATATGCTGGACAGGCTGCTCGTCAAGCCGCGTAGACTTTTTAACTTCTCCACTATGCCAAGTGGGCTCTGGGGTTGGACCTCGATCTCTGCATTAATCCCTACTCTACTGAATGATTACTCTCTCGCTATGCCGGCACGCTAGTTGATAATGTCAGGATCTTCTGGTTCATGCCTATTTCATTGTAGTATCACTACGCATAGCCCACGACGAGGCAGCTCTATACAAGACCGCCATCATGCATGACTGAATACTGGACCTCTGTTTGGGAAGTAACTTCATCACCAAGCAAGAGAAACAGTTTATGAATTCTTGAATAAAATCTAATCCTTGCATCAACAGTACAGGTTGCCAACTTCATACACCACGATGAATAACAAATTCAGAAACTATTGAAATATAAAGCCATATCATATGCCCTCAAACGCCGCAAGCCTGAATCCTGCAAAACTCCCTCACAAGCAAAATCGCAACAAGCCGCCTGTAAGAAATGCCAAAGACTTCGTCCATCAACAGACCGCGTCCGCTTGATTCCTTATCAGTCTGATCCTCAGGTACTTGGTATTCCCTCATGACCAGCTTTCAACGACTGCTCTCCTGTCTTGGCTTGATCATCCACTGCATGCCCGAGTAAAAGATACTTAAAGTATTTTTGAGCAGTTTAACAGTCGGTGAGAGATTTCTACTCTTCGTCGGCAGCCTTGGACTTTCTCTTCTTCTTCTTCTTTTTCTTCTCGGCATCATCATCTGCTGGAGGAGCTTCTTCCTCATCACGCTTGCGCTTCTTCTCCTTCTTCTCCTTTTTGTCCTTCTTATCTTTCTTGTCCTTCTTTTCCTTCTTGGCAGAAGCAGGAGCATCGGCCATCTCATCGTCGCTGTCTTTGCCAGCGCCGTCGCCGAGAACAGACATGACAGATTTCTAACAAATCAGATTAGCAATGACGTCCGCATTCAAGCTTCAGTGTTTCAAGTTCATCGACATACCATGACATCAGCGTTCTTGGCGGGCTTCTTGCCGCTGGCGTAGAACTCCAGGCGATCCTCGACTTGTTGTCTGAGAGCCTCACCAAATCGTGTTGAGGGCTCTTCGGAAAAGTTGTCAATCCTGCTAGCCATGCTGCACTTGTTGGCAAGGTACCGTGAAATTCTACCCTTGTTGCGTACGCCAGCCTTGCCGATGAAGCTGCTGTGGTAGATTAAACCATACTTGGGAGTGTTGCTCTTGGTCTTGAGGGCACGGAAGAGGGCCTTCTCGGCACCGAGAATCTGAAGGGTAGAGGCGGGGTATTTGGACAGGTTGGTGAGGGAACCAGCGTGAGAGATTAGGCGAGCAGCAACAGGAGTGCCGATCAGAGCCTGCAGATTGGGAGCGACGTGTCCCATTTTCTTTTCCAAGTAAGCAGAGGTGGTCTTGCGATTCTCAGCCTGCTTGACAACAGCCTCAGCGAAGCCAGCAATAATCTCCAAATCGGCAGCGGCAATGTCCAGACCCATGGACACCTTGGCAGCATCAATGATAGCTTGAGCCTTGTCACCGTCCTCACCGAGAATGGCAGCCAGATCGTGCAGCTTCTCGTCGTTCAGAGTTTTCTTGTCTCCAATGGCGAGAACAAGCTTGGCGTAGGTCAAATTGTCAGGGATAATCTTGACCAACTCCGGGAAGTGCCAGCCGTACCACTCCCTGACACGCATGAAAAACTGGTTCACGCCCTTGTCCTGAAAGTCGATGGTGGCGCTAGCCTGGATGATGTGGTTGTCGTTCTTGGTGACGCTGAACTTGACCTTGGCGCGGGAGTAGGCGTGCCCCATACCCAGGCCAGCCTTCTCGATATCGCCCGGCTTCAGATCTTTCAGCAGTTTGTCGGCGTGCAGGCGAAGGCCGCGGATGACATCGCCAACGATATCTGAGGTATCGGCGGTCTCGCACTCCAGTCCAGGGAACTCGCTCTTGATGGCACCGGCCAGGTTCTTCTCCGAGACGCCCAAAACAACCTTGGTCTTTTTGCCGGCCTTGGGAAGATTGAGCTCGAGGACGGATTTGAGGTATTCGGAAACAATGCCTTCGGAGACGAGGTTGATGTTCTCCAGGGCTTCGACATGGCCGCTGTTGTGAAAAAAAAACAACAGAGTAAGTAAAGTGGTGGCACAGCAGCAGTAAACATGCCAGGTACACATACCGGAAAGGACTGAAATTGGTCAGTTTGACCATCTTGCCAAACTTGGCGAGGTCATTGACGGCGGCCTGAGTCTCCTTCAATTTCAATCCAACAGCATCAGACTGATGCACCACCTGGAAGAGGGCATAGCCCACAGGGGACTCGTAGAGGGCATAATCAATGTGCGACATCTTGGCTCGTCCCGAATTTGCCAATGCCCCGACTGGTTAAATTGGAGCAGCTGAGACGAGAGATGTTCAATGGTGCAGTGAGGCTCTCGAATGCAGACTCTTGAGATACAACTGATTTGCACTTTTTTTCCTGTGGAAATTTTTCTGGCGGCAGCTCTAAGCTCGTGCACGGACCATGTGCAAGTGGCCAGCCAAAGTTTGCTACTACTACTACTACTACTAGTACCACTTTGTGTGGCGGTCACGTGGCGATACTTGATACTGGCGGGGCTCAAATTGGCCAAAAGTACTCCACAAAGTGCGTGCATGCAATTCATGGAGATGCACGGTGCCCAATCATGTAGAATTCATGCCTTTGTTTATGGCCAAGTATTCACGTAACCGGCGACAAATTGACATGGTCGATGCATTTATTCTAGAAAAATTCGGATATTTTCTTTAGGTTGCCAAGGCAACATAGGTTTTACTCGTTACTTCGCTGTCCTAATTGTTTGGGAATCCATCTCGAAGGTTATCGTATTTAGTCTCGGGGTATGTGATGCAGTTGTCCAGCTTTTGAAGACAACCCGGGCCGCCAAACGTCTCCACGACCGTTGAGATCAAGCTGTCTGATCCTGACTTATCACCGCTGCTCTCCCACCACATGGCTCCGCCTAGCGCCCTCTGTTTGGCATACTCTGCCTTCGCCTTGGCCATGGGTGCGGTGTCGTAACTCACAAGCTTGCGGTTGGCCGCGCTGTAACAGTAACTGGCTTGCGCTTGGTCATCTGAGAACTCCTCCGAGCCCTCTAGAGGCAATTTCTTATAGTCAAAGACGCCGTTTTCCCAAGTACCTTCTCCCACGCCCTGAAAGGGCTTTCCAGGACCGTCAGTGTTTTCAAAAGCCCGCCCGTATAAAGGCATGCCAAGCACAATCTTGTTAGCGGCAACGCCATGACTTGTGTAGTAATCGACCGCCGCATTGGTAGAAAATGGCGTGGAAGCGTTGTTGCCAGGGTAAATATTGGCCTGGTGTCCACTGACAGAGTCCCATGAACCAGCATAGTCGTATGCCATCAAATTCCAAAAGTCCAAGTACTTGTCCATCTCGGCAATTTCAAGCTTTTCGTAGTTATTGGGACCTGCAGGGCAGGCCACTGTCAACTCAAAGTGGTAGTTATCAACGCACTTTGCAGCGTAGGCATCAAGCTCTTGGCGTACGGCGGCGAGAAGCTCAACATAGTTGCGTGCTTCCTCTGGATTTTGCGGATACTCCCAGTCGATGTCAATGCCATCAAAGCCAAGGTTCTTCAGAAGCTCGACACAGGATTTGGCAAACGTCTCACGACCCTGTGGTGTGCTGGCAGGGTTCTTAAAATTGGCACTGTAGGTCCAACCGCCGATGGAGAGAAGAACCTTGAGATTGCGGTTGCGCTTCTTCAGGAGGTTCAGTTGCTTGAGACAGCCATAGATGTTATTGCCGGTATCATTCCACGAATCACCTTCCCAATGGATATCTGTATCAGCCCATGTGTCCGTCAGGTGCCTGGGACTCATCAGCGTTTGTGCCATTGATATAACATGGAGTGTTTGCAAACTTACACTTCGCCAGTATCGGTCCGAACATTCGCAAACGCATACAAAACATGGGTCAGATTCTCGACAGGGAGATCCTGAGGCCTGTGCTTTCGGGCATAGATTGCCCTAGATAACACAGTTAGTTCGTTGATTCTCTCACAAAGCTCCGAACAGTCAACTCACCAATTTACAAAGTAGGCTACCGTTCGGTACCCGTCGTTACTCATATTGCTCGGCGTGGAGGAAAATGTGGGAACAGAGTTATGCTGAATGCCAAAAAACAGAACCAGACAAGCTGCAATTGCAGTAAAACAAATGATCAGCCCAGAGCAGCTAGGTTGAGAGGATTGGGTGTTTGGCTAGGGCCGTTAGTCCATGCCCAGACGTAAGATGCCACTGATGGTTGGGTAGAAATGCGATGTCGACTCAAAGGCAAGTCGGCGCGCCTTACCCCGTATAATACAAATGGCGATGCTGGCTAGCGGGTTGTATGGGATTGTATGGCTGCTGTGGAGAGAACGGAGAATGAGAACTTGGGCTCACCAATTTCATCAATATGGATGACCTAGTAAGTGGCTCGACGACGACGAAAGAAGACTGTCACAAGAACTTATGTCAGGCAAAGAATGGCCCCAAGGCTCACACTGCTTGCGAGAAGGAAGGCGAAAGTTTGGCTTTGCTTGGGCATGGAAGGAGGGAGATGTTGATAGCCGTCATTGCCCGTCATTGCCTCAGCCACGCTCAAGCGGGTGCGGGTCATTGCTCTTGCAGGTTGGAGGGGTTTGCAGTCTGGTTGCCTGACCGGATATTCAACCGGACTTGACGCCGTGCAGCAGCACTAGTCCTCTCGAATCGACCTTTGAGGGCTTTTCCGCAAAAGGAAGCAGCAATTGGTCACTTGCATCGGAATGTGTCAAATTTGCCAAAACCCCAAAACCCCAAACCGTCGTAGCTTCTATGCGTCTGCTACAAAGCAAATCCGACTCATTAGCATCTCGGTAGGTGCCAATACTGCCTCACATTATTATCAATCAATCCATCTCTGGTCACTAGAGTTGAAAACGCCAGCATCTCGTCGTGGACATTGGACCCCGTAAACCCCTGGATGGCGCCAAGCACGGCAAACCTCCCACCAAACTCTTCGCCGTCAGGCCAGCCCCGAACCAGTGATGGTCCTCGCGGTGTAGAATGGACGACCCACTGAACGCCGACGAGAGCCACCAGGAAGGAACACCAGACGCCATCCCAGCCTTGTTGCGCCGCCACAAATGTTATGGCCGCCATCCATGTCTGGAACCACGACGTGGCCCAGTGCACTGCCTTGTTCTCTGGCACGGCAGACATGGGCTTGTTAAAAAGTGTGTCCATGATGCCGCAGTCGCCCACGAACAGGCTCCCATCCATAGCGTTGTCATGCGATGCAACCAACATGCTTACGTACGAAAAGGCCTCTTTGCTCTTCATGTACGTCGACAGCCGGCGTATGGCGACGCAACGGACAACGACTTGCGACACTCTATAGGCAAAGACAATGACCGCAGTGCCATAGGCCTTGAGCAAGCTTCAACGTTAGGAAAACCCCCAATCACGCAGCGCAGGATATGGAATAGCGCTTGCTGCCGCAGTGAACGATACTCCTTTCGAGGAGCGTTGTTGGCTGTGAGCCTGTGATGGACGTCGTAGACACCGAGCCGTTGATACTTGACCTGCGAGTGGGCTCGACATCTGGTGACGCAGCTGCAACATGGTTAGCCTTCAAATGCTGGTCCGTCCTCTCGGGCCGCAGTTCTCCGTTTTATTCACCACTGGCATCTGTCGATTTCGAGCCTGAGTTGCTGCGTCGTCTTCGCCATCTCGGTTCCTTGGAGAAAGATGCTCTGGCATTCTCATTACCCGAGGTCGATCTCGAGCCAGCAAGCATCGAGCAATGGTTAGGCTGGCCGACCCATTTGCGCGGGGGAATGCGCTTCCCCAGCGAACATCTCACACTGTTCGGCTCGATCCGTCTCTGTGTAGTCTGGTGCTTCAATGTTGCCAGATCAAGGAACTTGGACCCCTGGTCCAGCAGCCTGGCAAATCCCGAGGAGTCACCGGCCTTGGGAAGATGCCAATGGATAATAATTGGCCCAGAAGAGAGATCTCACTTGCTGTCGTCCCTCTATGGTTCGGCAAGAAACATCAATATCAAGCCAATCTGGTAAAAGTGACTCCGGTGGAAAGTCGAGATCCCCATCACTTCCAGGGCTTCCCTCCAGCATTTCAGCTACATTTGTCGATTTCGAATAGGTGTTGTAATTCTCTTCGTATCGGCAAAGAGCGTCTGGTGTCATGTCGATGAAAAGCCATTGACTCCAGAGACGGTTATCTGTGATGGTCCCTACCCAACTTCCTTTGCCATCGTATCCAATATGATACTTGACGGGAAAGTGATAAGGGCGGTTATTGGTATTTATCTTTCGTCTCACCGACTTTGTTACAGGGTTAGCTGGGGCCCAGCTATATCCCGGGGATTTCAGGATGCATGCCGAGTCAATCCAACGAGAATCGCAATTCAGTCGCCTCGCCGGATTACACAACCGCTGATGGAGGCATACAGGTTGGCAAAACAAGCAGTCCAGATCACTGCCGGCCTGGACTGCCTGGGGCTCTTGACCACAATATAGGAGCCTACATTCCATCTTATTCCTTGGCCGTTGCCTGAACAGGAAATACCATGAGCCAACTGAGCGCACGATGATGGGCCGTCTCCCTTGCAGGCTTCGCTAGACGTCTCCAGGCAGCGTCCGGGCCCGTGTTCAAATTGAGAGCTGAAACTATTTAACAGTCTTTGGAAGTCGAGTGTTGGTGCTGGTTTCGTTCGAAGGATTTCCAAAGACCAGTCGCAGAGATACTGGGTGGTTGCCGTCTCGCGATAGTCAGCATGGCCGTGCATTCGATGGTCTGCGAGATCCCTCAAGAAGTGATCTATTCTTGCAACCGAATGTAGGTCACCCCGTTGGGTAGACGGGCCATTGTTAAGCTGTGCTCTTGCCATCGTATAGAAGAGTATCACGACTGACCGATACCTCGCTACTGAGAGATGGAACGCACCGCAACACTAAAATGGGATACTTGGAAGGTAGACACAGAAAGTATCGTCCTGCAAATTGGTTCGACTTGGATGAGCAATGGAGACGGAACAAATGTTGTGGGCGTCGTGACCAAAAAGACGGCGCTGTGGAATGGGCCGACCAGAGGATTCGCACAAGCATGGATATGCTCCAATGACGGTGGAAGAGATGAAGACCATGAATGACGGCACCAACGGTATTCTCTGACGTGTCGAGTATTTGGTGTGCTTGTCAAAAATGATTCAATTGGCCATGCAGACGGGCCAATCCTTAGCGACACCTGGGATGTGCCTCTATTCTGCCTTATATATGGTCAGCTCGTGCTATAATTCAAGTAAAGGCGCGAAGAGTGATGAAAATCGGAATCCAGGGGTTCCCTTGACCGTCCTACTTGCCTTGTACATTATCTATCGAAATTTGTCAACCCAGGGGCTCTCAGCCTTGCTTGATCTCGAGTTGCGAGGCTCACATTGCCTGGTGTTAGACGATCCTTTCGGCCTGGGGTAGGCGCCAGACCTCGTTGGAAACAAGGGCGCAAAGAATATCTGGCCAGGAGGGATGAGGAGCAGGTTTGTACGTTGCTAGAAAAGTTGTTCCGTAGAGTAGTCGGAACGGGGTACAAACTGGTTGCTAGCAAAGGCATCTGGTGGTCAATGACTCAATGGCATAGCTTGGAGAAGTGTCGATGGAGATTTCAGGAGCCAGAGCCAGTCACCATTATTGAAGGGGCTTGAGTCACTATGCATGGCTAATAGCCCTCCTCATTGTTTGCCGTTCAAATAGTTCCATTGTTGATGCCGGGCCTTTGGATCTGGTGGACACGACTTTGACAAGCTCATTGCCCTGTTTCTGCAGTCGTTACGAGTCGGATCGCTGCCAATGATTCTTGTGCGTTCTTGATTGTCCTGGGGCGAACTTCACAACATTTGAAGTCTACTCGCATTCTCCTGTCCGGCTCGGGACTGTCAGGCTTTGGCATCGAGGGTAACATGCCAAACGTGCCTCACCGAGTACCGACCACAAACCTTGACATGGTATGACACAAAAACGAGGCGTTCGGCCGGCGGGCGACTCCCATTGGCTGTAGTTGATATCCGACGCGGATCTTGACGGTGTTGGTTGCACATGCTCAAGCTGTGACCATCAGTTGACCTCATCTTGTAGCACCATTGTTTATTATTGGCCACGACAAGCCCAGTCGGCGATAATTTTGTCGTTGACCGACCTCAACTTGCCGTCGATGCATATCAACATATTGTAAGTGGGGTAGTGCCGCTTGACTTGTATTACTATTCGAGTAAATACTCCGTACTAGCAAACTGTGGGAGGGTTCAATGCCGTTTGAGGAATCTGAGGATGCCAATCTTGGCAATTCTCCGCGTGTCCATCGGATATTTTCAACTCTGTTGGCAGCCAACTACTCTCAGAACCTGCGCGCCCGATCAAATGGGAACCGTAACTTGACTGGGATTTCTCCTGGAAGTGAGGACAGTGTCATTGGCATGCCGAGACTTTTGAGGACGGGCGGCGAGAAAAAGAGTCTGCTCCGCGTCTCGTCTCTGACGAGAAAAGCGCAGCGCAGAGAAGTTTACTCCGTACAACGATCCGAACTTCAGCGCTACATATACGACCGTCGAGCTCTCCAGAATCTTTGAATAATGCTCCATGTCCGGTGGCTTTCTGGAATCGTGGCATCCGGACAGCCTATTATTCCATGCTCGTTGTCGTGTCGCCATTACAATAGCATGAACCAATCCAATACCATGCATAGCTACCTGTGTCACCCTAATGTTTTACATCCATTTCGATGTGTGGCTGGGGGCATCTTCTGTGTCTATTCGTTGAGCTGGAGCCAAGAGATCACAAACCATGGGCGCACAACGACCAGTGCTCTTGGCCTTGTGATTCTGTGTTCCCATCCCTATGGAGCGGACGTTTTTTTTTTCTTCTTCTCTGCTTCTATGGCGATTCGGTCTCGTTTAAGAGGGAGCGATGGGTGCCCATTTACCCAACTTCCAAAATCCCTCACCTAGGGTCTCTACGGAAACTATGCCTGAGGGAGAGACCCGAGTTCCACCATGAAGCTGCATGTCGACATGCTCGCCGGACTTGTTGACAATACTAGCTTGTTAGGAATCCTCCTGGCGACTCTCGCTCTATATCTTGGCTACTTTACCCTTCGGCCAGTTCCCATTCCCGGCATTCCCTACAATGAGGATGCTGTGATGCGAGCGTTTGGAGACTTGAAAGCCATGAAATCGGCCAAATATCGCCGTCGATGGATATGGAGTCAGCCCAGAGAACACGGCACAGTCATATACCAGCTCTTTTTGTTTCCGTTCCGGCGGCCTACAGTCATTGTGTCAGATTACCGGGAGGCGGTAGACATCTGCTCTCGTAGGGTCAAGGAATTCGACCGAGGCACTCGCAACAGAGAATGCGTCGGCATAACTGCACCCAACTTTCACTTCACCATGGAATCCAGAGACCCTAGGTTTAGACACCACAGGGAGCTATTGAGAGACTTGATGACGCCCTGGTTTCTGGAAACGGTGTGTTTTTTGTCGATACACTTGACGCCGGGAGCAAATTGTGGCACGAGATGCTAACGAGTTTGCAAAGGTTGCGACGCCCCGAGTATACGAGAATGCGGTTGCCCTTGTTCACCTTTGGGGTATCAAGGAGCTCAAGGCACTGGAAAGACCATTCTCTGCCAACCATGATTTGTATCTGTCGACGCTGGACACAATATGTGCCGTGGCTTTTGGCATGGACCGGGAAATGTCTGCCGTTGGACACCAAACCCGCCACATCGAGGGATTCAAACCTGTTGAGCATTGGGGATTGGGTGTTGTCGCACGATTTCCAACCGCTCCTACCGATGCCTACTTGGAATCGATACTCGATATTCCCGAAATGGTAGCAATTGCACAAAAGAGCTTCTTCCCTACACTATCCCAGCGACTTGCACTGCTGAGCCCGAAACACGCCCGGGCTCACTGGAATAGACGGAGGCTGATTCGGAAACAAACTGAACAGGCCCTGAGGAGGATATCCTCTCTTGGTGACCAATACACGCCCAAAAGTGCTTTGGATCACCTTCTCCATCGAGAAATGATGGCATCTTCCAGGGCCGGTAGAGCACCAGACTTTTTTTCCCCAGCCATCCGAGACGAGGTATGGATTTGAGACGTTTCATCAACTGGTGACAAGTCGCTAAGAGGCTATCAGGTTCTGGGATATTTACTAGGGGGACATGATAGCATAGCCACTGTGCTGTCCTGGTGGACCAAACACATGCAATGCTTTCAAGATGTGCAGTCACGGCTGAGACAAGCCCTGCGCCAGGCCTTCCCCAGAGCAGTCGAAGAGGGCCGTTGGCCAACGGCTGAAGAAATATCATCCACATCAGTGCCGTACTTTGATGCCGTCGTGGAAGAGTCACTTCGAATAGCCTCCGTTGCTACCCTCATCTCTCGAACGGCGACGTGCGATACTCAAATACTTGGGTATAGCATCCCCAAGGGAACGGATATCCTGTTGTCATTGACCGGGCCTTCTTTGACAGAACCTGCGGTTCCCGTTTCAGAGCCAAGTCGAACGGCTGCTTGTAGGCAAGCCAAAGACCGCATCCCTGCTTGGGGAGATGACATTGGAGGGTACAAGCCAGAGAGGTGGCTCAAGGTCGAAAGTAGAGATGGCAGCGATGGCGTCCGAGTGTTTAACCCTTATGCTGGGCCGAATCTTGCCTTTTCAGCGGGACCTCGCCAGTGTTTCGGCAAAAAGCTGGCACTTCTTCAACTAAAGACCACCATGGCACTGCTGCTTTGGAACTTTGAACTTCAGGAGGTAGAAGCGTCCCTGAGCGGGTGGGATATTACGGAGAGGCTCTTCAATCTGCCGACGAATTGTTATGTGAAATTGGGCAGAACGGGACACGACAAGGTGGCCGCTCTGCCGTGAGCAGGGTATCATGATGAAAATGAAGAAGGGCGTTAGTTTGGCTCTATTTCCATAATTCTATACTTTGTGAGGATGGACCAGTTCCCGTCTAAATCTAAATCTTCTTCCCGTAACGCCATGCCGCATCTATACAACCAGAGAAGCTGAAAACATGTACAAAACTCTTCCTACGCTGCCGCTGCCGACGTAGCCTGCCGCTCCTGACGCTCCTGAACAGCCGCCACGACCACCTTCTCCGCGTCTGCTGTCCCCCTGGCCAACGTCCTAGCCTCCTCCAGCAGCTCGGCTTGTCTGTTCAGATAGCTCAAGTACGTCTGCCACCCGACGGCCACGACGCCCGAGAAAATACTCCGAAACTCAAACGGCAAAAAGGCCATGGAGAAGGCGACAGTCGCAGGCCACACCTTGAACGAGTTGAGCCAGCTGGTGGGGACGGTATCCCGAATCCGCTGGACCGTCGCCTCCAACGACTCCCCGGACAGGAGGGCCTGCGCGCCAAAAAAGTACGTGCTAAAGGTGGGCGTGAAGCAGAGCTGGTTGAGGGCGACCTTGGTAGCTATGGACAGCGTTTTGGACGCGTAGTTGAAGTTGTTACTTAGGAAGCGGAACCTGAAGGGGCAAGGCGAGTAAGTGACCTGGGGCGAGACAAAACGGGACCAGACGGCAAGTAGGGATGATTCTTACCAGTGAAAGTATGGAACGGCAGCGGCGAGTCCTATAAGAAGCATCCGCGCTGTCCTCTTGGGGTCGTGTTCCCTTCCGCCGATGCGCTGGGCACTCAGGTCGGCGAAGAGGTAGATGACTAGTGCGCCTGCGATTTGCGTCGTGTACGGGCGTTTTCGCTGCGATCGACTGTAGGCATTGGCGGCTGTGGTCAGGGGTCCCAGACGCTGCCAGATGGGCGGCAGAGATGGGGACGCGGTGGCCGAAGCGGTTGGCGTCTTTGTCGGGGCTGGTTCTGCGGCCTTGTTGGTATTTGTAGATGTCGATTGCGCTCGGAGTTGGGTTCGCTGTCGCAAGGCGCGGAACTGCAGACGCGCGGCGGCGGTGCGAAATTGCGGCAATGACATGGTCAGTTTGGCTCGGGCAGTGGTACTTGCGTCATTTGAACATGTGTACTCCGTGCTGGGTGGGAGACTGGAGAATGTAGTTTCTTGTTTGTAAAGTTTGAGATTGGGAAAAGAAAAAGGGCGCCAAGGTGTTTGGTAATGCGTCACTTGGCATCTCGGCATTAGACCGGAGATCCGGGCCGGGATCGGGTCAGCATTACGGGGTAAAAGTGGCGCATGGTTGACTCCGACACGATGGCCGCCCGAAGGACCATCGTCATTGGCCAATCGTAGCCCGCCGTGTCATTCCCCAAGGTGCTCGACTGGCGCGCCTGGCTATGGTACCCCATCAACCATTTGATCAATTCCGCCAGACGGTTGTGGCTTCCTTGTCAACTCCCTGCCAACGGCCGACTAGTGCCGCCAAGACCATCAACACCAGACAACTCCTCCTCACCCATTCCCATCGACTTCAGTTAGTTTACGTTCATCCCATGTTTTTTTTTAAAGGCCAGCCTTCTTTTAAGCTTCAGCCCCGCACAGAATACAGTTTGGCCTTGTAACCGCATTCACCTACCACGTCTTTTTTGCCCACCATGGCGCATCATCTAGGGACTCCCCCTTCCGGTATGAACATGGAATCAGTCTGGGTTTCGCTCCCAAAACCAAGCAGTGACGGGACTGAATCAACGGCAGACCGTATTCGCAGAGTGCAAGCAGACTTGGGCGAAATTTATACCTTCTACAACATTTCCATATCACCCACGCGACGGAGCCGCCTGGATAGATTCTGCGCCGATGAACTAGAGTCCCTCAGCCACGTTGAGTTTGATGCGCTGAATCAACAGGATAAAGTCGACTACATTTTGTTGCGTAATTTTTTAAGGCAGTGCAGGGCGCGGCTGAAGTCTGATCAGGACGCAGATAAGAGCAGGGCACCATTGCTACCGTTCGCAGCCATCATTGTGTCTCTATGTGAGCATCGAGAGCGCGTCAAACCCATTCGCCCCGAGCACATTGCAAGCAAACTCAACGATGTGAAAAAGTTGGTCGACAAGGTACATCAAGAGGTCGAGGATGGAAAGGTAAAGACCAGCAAGACCAACGCTTACAAGGCATCCAAAGTCATCAGCGAGCTTCGTAGCCACCTTGCCGAGATGTTCAAGTTCTATTCGTCCTACGATCCTCAGTTTGATTGGTGGGCTACCTCACCTTGGGAGGCAGTCGATGCAGCGTTGGAGAAATATTTCTCCCTGGTCCAGAGCAAGTTGGCCGGTATACGCCCCGATGGCAAGGGCGATATCATCGGCCAACCCATTGGACGTGAAGCACTCCTCAATGAGCTTGAAGCAGAAGTCATTGCCTACGCACCAGAAGAGCTGGTACAAATTGCCAACCAGGAGTTCAAGTGGTGCGAGCAGCAAATGAAACTAGCCTCGACGGAACTCGGATTTGGTGACGACTGGAAAAGAGCCCTCGAGCATGTCAAGACGAAATTCGTGCCCCCGAGTGAACAGCCCCAACTCGTCATGCAACTTGCCCGCCAGGGAGCCGACTTTGTCCGAGACAATGACCTCGTCACGGTTCCGCCTTTGGCCGAAGAAACCTACCGCACCATCATGATGCCAGCCGAGCAGCAAAAGGTCTCGCCCTTCTTCCTCGGCGGATCCATGATCCAAATCGCATATCCCACCAACGACATGCCGTACGACCTCAAGCAGATGGTCATGCGTGGAAACAACAGACACTTTTCCAAAGCCACTGTGTTTCACGAGCTCATTCCCGGCCACCGGCTGCAGCTCTATCAAGCCGAACGGCACCGAAGCCATCGCTTACTGTTCCAGACCCCCTTCTTCGTAGAAGGATGGGCCATGTACTGGGAATTCGTCCTCTGGCAGCGCGGCGATTTCTTCGTCTCACCAGAGGACCGAATCGGCACCATGTTCTGGCGCATGCACCGCTGCGCTCGCATCATTCTGTCTCTGAACTTCCATTTGGGCAAGATGGAGCCCCAAGAGTGTATCGACATTCTGGTCAACTGGGTCGGGCACGAGCGGTCTACGGCCGAGGGTGAAGTGAGACGGTGGCTGAACGGAGATTACGGCCCTCTTTATCAGATTGCGTACATGATTGGTGCTCTGCAGCTCGTCGAGCTGAGAAGAGAGGTGCTCACGTCTAACAGGATGACCGAGAAGAAGTTTCACGATACCATTCTTACGTATGGTGCTATCCCTAACGAACTCGTGCGGGCTTTGGCATTAGACCTAGATTTGAAGCCGGACTACAAGGCAAAATGGAGATTCTACAAAGGGTAATATGCTGCAATAGTGGAAAGCTAAACTTTTGTGCTTTGGATATATTGAATCGACGCATAAGGGTACATGTGAGCAGTTCCTTTCCACCCTCCCCCCCCTTTCTTTTGTAGAAGAAAAAGAAAAGACGAAAAAGTGTCTATTTGTAATGACGAATCACGCTATTTTCTGTTTCCTACACAATTTGGCTAGTACCTTTTATCATGTCTTCCTTGCCGTCGTTTGCTTAAAGCTCCTGTGAGCCCACGTCTCATGTCCTGGTTTCGGCGGTGCGCCCCATGTTTCGACGACTTCGCCCGTCGCAGTTATCTGGGTGACGAGCTGGGGAGAGCCGCAGTAGACGCTGCCGCAGTACTGGCTGCCGGGACCCTTGACTGTACATGTCCGCCGAACAGGTTAGCCGTGTTTCTTTGCAAGAATGCCGCGCGAGCCCGAGCTGTGAATGTGAGTCTGCGCACCCTCTTTCATTTGCTTCTTTGGCGGTATAGGAACAGGACTGCTAGGCATATTCAAGGAGGTCTGGATGGATGGAGAACCGGCTCCCTAGGCCAAGGAAGAAGAAGGTGTCATGGGCTCGGAATGGCCATGTTGAATATATACTCGTTGACCACGCCACACCTTGCCGGTTGCCACGTTATTCAACACCATGGAATGACGGGCACGTAGCACAATGAGATAATCCGCATTGAAAGCAGAGCAGAATGAGATAAGCCGTGCCAATGGCGTGTGCTGTCCCAATGCAGCCAAAAGTGCAGCATACTCCGTACGAGGGGCCTCGTACCATGGAGGCGAGACACGACACGAGTGGCGTGTTTCGTCAGGTATGCCGGCCACGGGGATCTACATGACACGTACGGAGTAGGTCAACCAGGGCTCTTGCTAGTGGAGGAAATTCATGATTCGACGGAGCCGGGTGACACAAGGGCAAGACGACTGCAGCTGTTGCTGGCGTGGCTGTCCACCGGGGGTGAAGGAATTGGTCATGCTATGCGATGTAACGACCTGTGTGTTTGTCCTTTGGTCTCGTCTTGCCAGGCTCCTGTCCAGCACAAGCTGTTTGCTTTTGCAGCGGTAGCGTGGCCTGGTGTCAGTCGAGGGGGAAGAAGGATGATGATGGACCTGTCGTATTTCCACTGGTAACTCGCGGCGAAGCAGGCTTTGGGATGCTTCATGTTTATGTCTGTACAAGGAGCAATTTTGTTGAACGGGGATCAGCTGTGATTAAGGATCCAATAATCAAGTGTGCAACATGTGAGTGAATTCTTGTGTATTTGGTAAAGATGACATCTTTCAATATTATATTGGCTAGTTCTGTTTGTCTCTCTCCCTGAAACATGTCCCTTTTTGGAGTGAATACGTAAGTAACTACTCTTTGGCACTTTTATTTAATGTATGTCTCGGCCAATCTTAATTCCAAGTACGAGACGGACCATGCTTGTTGGAAACAGAGCATCAGGGAAGCATCAGGATTGACGCTCCCCAAGCCGAGTCCGCGGGCGAAATAGCCAATAGCTACGGAACTTGTCTTTGCAAGATGGTCCATGACTCTATGCTGAACGTGATGAAGTCGTCTCTTCAGTAGAGTGACCAGGGTGAGCATAGAAAGGACTGCCATCAATGCCAGTATCGCCATGATGTACCGTCCACATCGTGCACAGAACAGAAACTTGTATGCAACACGAGCCAGTGACACTTGGCAGACACATTTGCCATTGATAAATTATGAGTCTGTTTCTACAAAGAAAAATGCTTACATGATAGTACAAATGAGTGACTCCACAGATGCAAGTGAAAATGACGCCGCAACGCCCGACAAAACCACCAAAACACCAGACATCTCAACAACGGCAACACGCAGCACTCGGCCCCAGATTAAAACATTTCCACGTCATCCTCCTCCAGCAAACCCAGTCCGCTATCATACCGTCTACGGAGCTTCCTCCCACTCGCCATCGGCACCAAAGAACCAGAAGCAGCAGCCGCAGCCGCCGCCTTGCCATCGACACGGGACGGCGAAGAAGCAAGCTCATCCTCGGCCTCGTCGCGCAAACCAGCCTGCCTCCCTTCCCGCCCAGGACTCCTCAGAAAGTCGTGGCTCATCTGCAAGACACGCTGCAGCTCCGCCTTGACCGATTCCACAGCCGCCTTGGCCCTGGCGCGCTCGTCGTCCACGCGCGCCTCCAAAGCGCCCTTATCCACGCGCAGCACCACGATGGTCTCGTGAGCAGCGCGCAGGGAGTCGTTGACGCGGTCAATCTCGCCGCGCAGCTCCAGGACACGCGCGTCGCGGAGGGCCAGCGCCGCGCCGTGCCGCCTGTTCAACGACACGACGTGCCGCGTGCTGCTGTCCTGCACGTCGCCCATCTCCCTCTGCAGACGGGCCGACTGCCGCACCGCGTCGGCAAGCCTCTCCTGCAGCTCGGCGATGCCGGCGTCCCTCTTCTGCAGCTCGTGCCGGTCGAACTCGCGCTGCGCCGAGCTCGTGGCCGCTGCGTCGCGGTGTTCCTCCTCCATCCGCTGCACGAGCTTCTCCAGCTCCGACATGTCGCGGATGTACCCGTCGACTGCGCCCCGGAGACGCTCGTTTGCGACCTCGAGGTCCTGGACTTTGAGGCCCTTCTCGTGCAGGAGCCGCTCTGCCTTGGCCATTTCGCTCCTGAGCTGGTCCATGGCGCTGACCCTCGCGTCGAGCTGTTTGCGCAGCGACTGCTCGAGCTCGTGGTACTCGTCTATCGAGGACTCGTCCTCCTTGGCCTTCTTGGCTAGCTCGCGCAGGCGCACGAGAAGCAGATCGAGCACCTCGGCGCCGTGGGAGGTCAGCGGCAGCGCAATCTCCCCGGGGGTGAGGTATTCTAGCTCGAGGCGGGCGGCGCGGAAGCCGGACGACAGCGCCGCCATCATGTCGCTGGCGTCGGCGCCGGGAAAGCCCAGGTCGGCGATGGAAGCGCCGAGTAGCCGTACGGCTTCCGTCCGGTCAGACATGTCTTGCAGCAGGGCGTCAATCTTGCTCTCCAGGACGTGTGCCGCGGGGGCGTCGTCGCTCTGCGGCGAGATGGGCTCCACGGAGGCGAGCTTCTCTTTGAGCTTTGCGCTCAGGTTCTTGTACGAGTCCAGCGTGGCCGTCAGCTTGCACACTTCGAGCTGCAGCGATGCGAGCTCCTCTTGCGCTTGCCGCTTCTCTGGGTCGGGGAGGCAGACCTGGGTGCCCGTGTGAGACCGGGGGGTAGGCAGACACGGTCTCGAGGAGCATGGCGTAGAGGGAAGCATAGGGCTCGTGGCGGGAGGCGTGGGAAACGAGGACCGAGCTCGGGAGGGAGTGCTCGCTACAAAGTGTGCCATGGTTGCGTCGCCGAACTGGTCCTCTTCCTCGTCCATGCCCATGTCTGTGTATTCATCTGAAAATGGGTCGCGCGCTGCCAATGTCCAGTCGTAGCTTGTCGTTTGGTGATGCGGAGTCGAGGGCCTCTTGGCTAGCTCGTCCTTGAGATTTTCAATTTGCTGCTCCAGGTCCCAAATCCTCTCATTGTCGACAACTATGGTGGCGTTTTGCAGCTCGTAGATGTCTCTGTCCCTGGATTTGATCTCAGACTTGAGATGGCTAATCTCGGCTTGAGACTGCTGTGTCTTGCGTTTCTTTTCCTGCTCGAGCTTGTTGAGCAAGTCCCGAAGATTGCTTCGACGAATGCGTCTCTCAACGCGGCCGTCGATGGTGTGATGCAACGAGTTTGACGATTGATGGTGATTGTGGGATAGGAAGATTGTGTTTGGGGGGCCAGGCGTTCCGCTTCTTGTGGAGATGGCTGGCGTTGACACACGACGCCGCTGCCGAGGAGTGTTGATGCATGTGCGGTTGATCATGGGCGTCAATCCGCTCGACATTGATAGACCTGGATCAGAGAACCGGACTGCCCTCCTTGCCCGTCGCGGGGTTTTGGGCGGCAGAGCTGCCGACTCGGTTTCCTCTACCTTCACGATGCCGGCATTGCTTCGACGGGTTCGCCGAACGGCAATGGGGATATTGAGATCTGCCATATCTTACGATGCCACCGCAAGACAAGCACAATATCAATCAAGTATCAAGGGTCTGGGACAGCAAAGACGTCGCAAGTGAGAATCGACAGCCCGGGGTGACGGAGAAGTCAAAGGAAGCAAACGTCCAAGAAAAGGTCTCAATTCGCATTTAAGAAAACAAAGGACCGTGTCCATGGGCCGGCCGTCTTGTTCGACGTGTCTGGACTCTGCCCGAGGCATTGTCACCATGCGACGCAGACTGGGCTGTTGTTTACTTATTTCCATTTGCGGCTTAGCTGCCGGTCGCGTCGGTGGCTCGGCCCCACAGCGGCGGCAGCCGTTAGCCAACCGTTTCTGCGATGGCAGGGTCCAGGTCAGACCCTGGATCGTTTTGGCGTCACGACTCCATCTGCGAGGACGTGTACAAGGTATGTAAAAGCACGCTTGGCCATCAGGTCGCCAGTCGCGAGACCCTGCGTCACGGTTGGCCTGCTATTTTTTTTTGTCGGCTCTTTAGTGCGAGTCTGTGTGAATCAATTAGTGGCCTTGGACGTGTGCAAACAGAAAAGTCACCGCGTTTCCCACTATTTACATGGTTGCCTGTCCAACGGCCGCCTTCATCACCGACGACCGTGAATCAAGTGATGGAGCTGCCCGATATTCACTGCCGCGTCCAGCTATCCATTGCAACCTTCTCCACACTCGTGTCGCTTCACGCCTGCAGACCGTCGCGCAACTCAGCCAACCCGGAACTCTCCCACCCGCGGCCAGATTTTTGATACAGCTGGAGCTCCTTTCCCAGGGATAAAAACACCAGCCCCTCCGACGTGGCTGACATGGCTGCGATGGGAGATTTCGCTACAAAGCCCAGACTTGTATTCCGTACTGCGCTTGCCCCGACCAAATTTTCGCGAACGAGGTTCGAGCCGTCGGTAGATAGAAGCGTAAAGTCGTATCCGTCCTGCTCATGAGGTTGTAGCCAAAGGAGCTGCTTGGGCACTGGGCTCAGGCCAAGTCCGTCGCCCTTGGCATCTAAAAGCGCGCTGTAAGTCCAAAACCGCTTCACCGCGCAGTCGAACCGACACCAGGCTACTCCGTACTTACCCGCGAATGCCCCCTCGGCCTTGTCACACTGGACTTGGACGTCTGGCGGCGGCCAAAAGTCAATTGCGCAGTCCCAAGCAACCACCTCGTTCTTGTCAACGACCCCAATCAGAAGAGTTGGACGCCCTTGACCGTCGTCGTCAGACTTGAATCTCTTGTCGCGCCAGTCGCCTGCGAGTGAGTAGCAGGGCATATTCGACTGGCCGGGCACCGATTCCGCCAGGACGGAGGTGACGTTGGCTACGTACCAGGCGTTTCGGCCGACGGGGTCGTCTGCCATGGCGAGCCGCAACTCCTGGGAGGCATCGTCGTACGCCAAGACGAGCAGGTCTGGCGTTCTCCGCCCCCTGTGCCATGCCGCGGATAGACCTGACGATGAGGAGGTTCGGATGCCGCCGCGCTCGTCGGTCACCTCGCCTGCTTTCCATCTCCCGGCTGCCGCCTCGGAGACGTGTGAAATCAGATTGGTCTGGCTCAGGTAGAATAGGTGCACCGACCCCGTTTGATCGGCTTCCATGGCGAGGGGGGTTCCTGGCTTGGGTTCCGGGGCCGACGAGTCCAGCTTCTCGCTGATTCGGAAGCGGGTGACTGTCCTGTTGGCCCATTCAGTAACGGCGAGATGGCCAGTGTCTTCTTGTAGGACCAGCAGTCTGCGCTCCTGGCCGGAGTCTCCTTTCCTGACGAGGAGTGATGCCAGCTGGGACTTGTCCGACATGATGAATGGCGTAGCCGTCTCTTGAACCTCTGTCGTAGTCGACGGGGGAGTATATGTTGATGAGACAGGAGTCACTGACACTTTAAGTGTCGAGGTACGACGGGTAGTTGGCAACGCGCCGAGAGAATTCGGCTCCGTTTGACTACCGAGAGTGGTTGTCGACGAGATGTCGTCACTTGTCGTTGTGTCAGATTTCCTGGCAGACTCCAACTTGAGCACCACTCCGAGAACGACCGCACATGTGATTACCGTGAACACCAAGAGTCCTATCGCCGGGTAGCAGAATCGTTTTCGACGATACCAAGGTACCTCCGCAGACTGGGTGTAGTAATGGTTATGAACTGGCCCCGCCACATTTCTCTTGAGTCTGCCTTCATATTCCGGAGGAGGACCAAAGGCCTCGAGCGGGATGCTGCCAGTCGCCATGTTGCGGTTCTCATGAGAGACAAGCCAGGGGACGTCTATCAGAGACATTTCGCATGGGAAGCTGTGAAAACTGTCCCCGGGGGACACACCTTATTAAATGCCATTTCTTCGGTGCATGTTTGTACAGAGAACGCAATGGGAGACCGAACAAAAAAAAAAGGTCTCTGGCTCGGTTTGCGTCACACACCTCATGCCCTTTTGAGGGCAACAGCTAGCCACTGCAAAGGAAGGGCTTCAGATAGAATACACATGGGCGTAATCAAAAGGGTGTGTCGGCGGCAACATGATTCATATTTCAGTGCACACCTTCACTCTTTTTGACAACAGTCAGAATAGATTGCGCCGACAAACTCCCACGTCGCTCTCTTTACAATTCGCGACTTACCTGCACATGCCTGTCTAAATTCCCAAATTTCCCTACAAATTAAAGGCCAGTAAAAATTTGCGCTTTTCAATGCGACACAGTTTGACAAAGTAGAGTTGTCCGGCGCCGATTGTTTGCCAATGCTGTCATCTACCCGTCATTTCACGGGAGTTTGAGATTGCTATCCAGGATTCTCCAAAAACTGCAGATGCGGAATGATTCATCGTTCCATAGTGATGAGCTTGAGAATTTGTCGTCGTCTTGATCGTACATGAAATTTGATTTCCAGCACGTTCCATCAAGTCGTCTACTATGGGCCGTAATAACCACCATCCACGGCATTCTGAATTCCTCTTCAACGACATTTCATCATGCAAGAGGTAAAGACCACACAATCACTTATGGCAAGGTCATCATGGATCATCTTGGTCGGAGCCGATGTCAATCACCACAAAACATGCTTGTAGTGACATGGGGTTCTGACATGTCACGAATCTACATCTGAGTCCATGCTTTGCTGTCTGATTGTCCGGAGTCTTGGTGAAAAAGCAATCAGCTCCTTTGGAGCCGGTACAATGAATGACAGGGCCTCCTCTTCTGCTACATTGAACAACATGACATGTCCGTTCTGTTATGTGAGAGTCCTCGGGTACTACCAGTGTCACTATGATATGACTTCTTGATCTCGACCCGCCTCATATACAGCAACGTGACACAGTGACTTGCTGATCAGGATGTTCATCATTTAATGAGATGATGTCTACAGGAAAAGTGTGTAGAAGCATGGCCGTCAGTTGGTTCTCGACCAGTCTAATAAGTTAATTTATGTTCCAGGTCATCACCCATTGCACAGATTCCATTTACAGCCCTCTGATTTTATTCGAATACTAAGCTAATCCTCGCTTGACTTATTTATGTGAATAATTACCGCAAAATCTGTCTCTATTTGGCAGAAAGTTGATCGCCCAGACGTTCTCCCAACGGGCATAACTGTCGTCAAGATTGGGTTCACAATAACAGGTTCCCAGCCGAGAAGAGATATCACCTGGCTACCGGATCACGAATAGCTGGGTAAAAACAAGTCACTATAGGAGTGAAAAATGCTCACACAAATCTCCGTTTATGACACCTTTTGCGGGGCGCAATACCCTCAGTACGTCAAGTGGTCACACCCAGCAAGAGGCGCATCGTCGTTGCGCATGTGCATGTCCAAAGTCTGGAAGAAATCGGCCGTTTCTCTGGTGACAAAGGGGATGAGTACTCCAATGGTCCCCTGCCATCGTCATGAAAACGATAGACATGTATAAAACCTTCGGAGGACTGTCTTGGGTTCATACTCATGTCTTTCCCCGTGCCAGAAACCAGGAGGCTTGTGAACAGCACAGCTGCTGCACTGACACCCGCTTCGTCCCCTTCCAAGTGCACCTGTCAAGCACACTTGGGGCACCTCTAATAGGATTGATGATACTAGCGCAAGACGCCCATCTTCCTCTTCCATTTGGGAGACCAAAGTCGTCGGTCGGGAGGTGCTTAGCATCACCGTTGGTGACATTTGTATCAGCTAGTACTTGCGCACAGAGGGATGGGTCTAAAGTGTTGTTTTCGGGCTCTATAGTATACAAGGCTGGTCCGGATGATCGATGCGTTGTCGTGGAGTCTACGCAAGAGGCACAACCTTTTCAATAAACGAATATCGTAATTTTTCAACAGAGAAGACGCTGCAGAATAGAATGATTAGCCTCTCAGCCACTCCATTACTGATTCAACTCCAAATGGAGCATGACGGATACGATGCCTGGAGTAGTCAGATGTTGTGCACATGGAAAAACTTACTAGAGACGACCCCTGTTGATTCCAACGATGCCTTCCTCGCACTGTTCGCTTGTGAAATTCCATGCCCATGTTCATGGTATGAAAGGGGAGTGACTAAAACCCGCCCATGACTGGGTTAATGTGTGCTATCCACAAAGTGGTGCTGAGCGCCAAGACACATTGCTGGTTGTGAAGTGCATAGCCGACATCAAGGGACACTACCGAGAAGTCGAGGATCCCGTGCTTACGAGCCCCCAGTGGTGATGATATAGTGAGCTCCGCTTCAGCGTTACGATCAAGGACATGAATCAGATTGTTCTTTTCGATAGAGGCAATCGGACAAGCGCGACCTTTGGATCAGTGGCAAGAGATTGACCTGGAACAACACGGCGTGCGCCTATACGAGAAAAAGAGTTCTTTGTCGGCGCGTACTCGACGGTGGCGATCCGGCCCGAATCGGTAGCAAGGATGATGTAGTCTAATTACAAAACTGTATCAGTACCGTGCCATAACGCGCAAAAACATTGTTTGTAGCCGAAGCACTCACTCCATCACTAGGAAGTTGGGCAATATCAGTCAGCGTATCGTATCCTTTGAGCCACCAGCGAGGCGAAACGCAGCGATGGATCTGATGATACCAAAGACATTCTGAGACAAATGCTGCGTCGTGACAGTGATCAAGTTCCATTGTCCTGACGGTTGGATGTGGACGTGATCATGTTGCACTTATCGATAGACTACCTAGGTAGGTAGGTACTTAAGGCAGGTAGCTAGACTGACTGCTTCATGCATGAGCATGAACGCCAGCCAACGGCGTCTTGTGCTCCTGCTTTGGCGTCAGCTGGTGCTTTCAAGCCACGTGCTCACACCTCCCAGCCACAGCCACAGTTGAATGGCTCGGTGTGGCTGGGCTCTGCAATGGACGTGCGGTGAACATTGAACCCACATCCAACATGGCGAGCTGCTTGTCCGGATGAACAAATCGGTGACTGGAAAGTCGGTCATAGTACTTCGTACAGGATTGCCCAGAACGGTCAAATCAGCCGGCCACAACTGGTCGCAGACGAGTGAGCGAGAGCTGCACACGCATGTGCTAGTTGACGCGGCTTGACTTGCGCCTGTCTCGAGCATCAGACCACGCGTGGTCCAGAACGGTGAAGCATCATCACCTCGGACTGGCCTGGGACGTCGAGGCCTCGTTGAATTCTGCCGCCCGCTGGCCTCGCTCTCTCCTGGTGACACGATGAGCGCACATAGCGGTCAAAGACGGACACGACGTTGAGAAAGGGTCTCGTCCATGCCATGCCGCCATGTCGGCCGCTCCAACAAGCACCTCTGCGCCTCCGCCGGCGCGAAAAGTCAAGTTCGTGGCGTCAGATCCCAGCCGTGGAGGATTGCCCGTCAAGCGCAAGCAAGTCCAGCAGGCCTGCGCAGCATGTCGGCGTAAGAAGGTTGGTCCGACTCTGGCCGTCTAGTTGCCTGTTTGAGCATTGGCTAACCAATCGCGGCTTGTTGTGCGTGACAGCGACGATGCATCCATGCCGACGATGCTCATGCTCAGGAGGAATCCACCTCGGAGGAGCACCGAGGGCAGGACTCGTCGCCCTCGCAAGCCTCGTATGTCTGATTCCGATGCGTCTTGTCTCCTCCCTTTGCTGACTCGGGGCTCCAAGGCCGTCTACGGGTGCGTCGGTGGTTACACCGCGGATGAGAACCGCCGCCGTGATGCATGAGAATGGCACTGTAAACAACACATCACATACCGCGCTTGCTTTGCATACTAGTCAGCCTCCATACTCGGGCCACCGGGCCTCTGTTGCCATGCCATCGCAAACCGATCATCTCAAGCAGCAATCTTCCCGTTTTGTGGGCGACCTTAACCCCGAGGGCATGTTTCTGGAAGTCACCTCCATTTCGGCCGGAGCCTCATCGCAAAAAGGAGATGTGGGCATCTGGCTGTCGTCTGGTGCGTTTGGGGGCACCGGACAATCGTCTCAGTTCATTACCTCGCGACCTCCTCCGTTGATGGACCACTTCTTGCTGCCATTTGTTCGGGAACACTGCCTGTCCTGCCTCCCACCGCCCGAGGACTTTGCACGCCTGAAGAATGTCTATATCCAAAAGGTCCATCCCATATTTCCAGTCATTCCCATCGCCGACATTGACAACGACCTCGACCACCCGTGCAGCATAGTACTACGCCAACTTGTTTGCCTCGCCGCTGCTGCTGACCCAGAACTCACCGAGCATTACCGGCTACAGAACCGCGGGCCTGGTTTGCTGTCTCCCCAAGACTTTTCCCAGTCCCTGTCCTCGTCTGTGCGGGCCATACTGGAAACAAGCCTCATTACAGATCGAGTCATGCACATTCAGGCTTTGATCATGCTTTCTTTGTATACGCAGCCAACGTGTGCCGAGGAGTCTGACCTGCCCGCACAACTGGGCGGCCGTGCCATTCACCATATACAGACTCTTGGCTTACACTTGCTACGATACGACGCGCCAAATTGCGACGACCTCGAGAACTTGTTTTGCTGTGTATGGGCCCTGGACCGCATTAACGCCGCCGAGTATGGCAGACCGTGTCTGATTCACGAGCGTGACATTGGCGCTGATTTGGAAGCCTGCATCAGAAAACGACCGCCGTGTTTCCGACTGTTTTTATCAGTTATTCAGTGGCTGGACCAAGTTGTTGAGCTGTACCGCCCAGGACCCAGCGCAGAGGCATCTGGTCTTGAAAAGATCGCATACATCGACCTCCCCGTCCTCGAGGCAATGATTGTCGATGCGGATGCGCTCAAGGTGCCATCCTCCCTCATTGGTCGGTATCCTCCTCCCCGTAGATTTCCATGCCGAGCCCATCTAACGCGCGCCATAATAGCGACCATCGAGACATTCTACCACGCCGTCATAATTCTGTCGTGCAGATTAGCCCGCCCTGGAACAGTGCATGCCGCCTCGACTCTGCCGCCGCCGTCTGCCAACGCACGTCGGTCCCTTGCCGCTGAGCGAATCGCCTGTGCTGTTCCTCGAGATCACCTAAGCCCCATGCCCTTCATTCCGTATGCAGTTTCACTCGCTCTGAGCGTCGAGTACAGAAAGATGAGACACAGCCGGCTTGCCATGTTCCGAGCCAGGGCCATGAGCTCGTTCAAGCGGAACTGTGAAATGTTGCGAAAATACGGTGACCATTTCTGGAGCGCAAACGTAGTCGCCGGTCTAGGCGAACGAGTACTCAAGGAGATGGAGCGCGCTGCTACGAGCTTGACAACCAAGGACGCTGCTAGCCCTGTCCCGTTGGATGTCGGGTCCAGATCAACATCGGCCGGGGTGCAGTCCCAAAGTGTCCGGCAGACCCAGATGCTGCCTGGAAATACAGCTGGTATTACATCCGCCGTCGGCATGGACAATGCGGTCGACTTTTCGCTGATCGACGCCATCTCGGGCCAGGACGTCTTTGGGCATATCGACCCCAGCTTCAACCTGGAAGCTGTGGATGATGTCTTGGAAGCAAACCTAGACATCGGCTTACCTCTGAATTGGGGAGATTGGGGCCAGTTTGCCATTAATTAGCACCTTGGTTTTATTTTATTCATTGTGTGCATAGAGTGATGATGATGGGGGACTGGTTGGTCTTTTTGGCAGGTGGTGCAAGGAAAAAATTGTTCATGGCGCTCGGGCATGCATCGGTTGGGAGGAGTACTGTTTTTTTTACTCGGGAGATGAATGCCACTCGTAACAATATGAAGAAGAGATGGTAGTCCTTCCGGTTTGTAATGAGCTTCGCCGTCACGTCCCAGTCTCACCTTGTTGTGGCAAAGTCACTAATTCCCACTCGGTAGGGTGAAGATGAAGCATAACGAGCGACTAAGTAGTTGGTTATTGCATCTTTTTTATCTTTATCTATTCTACACAGTAATGACTGAACAAGGTTGCTGGCCAACAAGGCCAAGCGCATCATCGAGACAACGCAGCTACACGTGCAGGTGCGAAAACAAGAATTCAAAACACGAGCAAAACAACGACGCTTTGGCAAGTGTCATCGGTCGAACCGGCCCTGATATTGGATCTTGCGTCTACTTTCTAGCTGTTTCTGCATTTCTATGTCATCATAGTCTAGCGTGTCGCGCAGCTTGGTGTCACTGGCGAACAGCGGACGAGGATTGGTAAAGGCATCATCTGCGGACACGGGCATCTCTGAGGGATCGAAAACGGGCCGGCTGAAGCGATTGTAGGCGATGATGGTGTCTCTGCCCCCGGCGACGGCATTGTTGGGCATCGGCTGGCGCAGAGACATGCGCCGCACCTCAACGGCGTCTTCTTGGATCGGCTTCACCCCCATGTACGTGTAGATGAGGTTGAGCGCCGGGATGGACAGGCCATGGACGACAATGGAAAACAGGACGAGCCAGTAGACGACGGGGCCGATGGCCCTGGCCAGGTTGGTCTCTTCCTCGTCGCCTTTGCCCAGCTCCGGGAACAGATGACGGCTGTGCTCCGCGTAGAAGACGGCCCCGGCGCCAATGGGCCCAAAGTATCCCATGAACAGGGCTTCTTTCCAGTCCTTGACGACTCCCGGCATGAGCTTGTACGTCATGAGGATGGCGGGGATGCGGCGGAAGACGAGGACCATGAGGCCGAGGAGCATCAGGCGTCCGTAGGTGAGGCCGGTGCCGTCGGGGTCGTTGAACTCGCTCCAGGGCATGATGGCGCCAATGTACATGAAGCCGCCAAAGTTGAGGAGCACGTCGACGCACGAGTTGACCTCGTCGTGGCGGCGTTCCGTCTCGGCGAGGTAGTCCCCGTCCCAGTTGAGGGCGTTGCCGGCCACGAAGCAGGCGAGGAGGTCGTCGGTCCCGATGGCGCCGCAGGTGCCGACGAGGAACATGCCGAGCGCGGTAGGGAAGAGCACGTACGACTCCCCGTCGATCCATTTGCTATTTGACAGTCGTACATGTTAGCACGGGACGTGGCGTCGCGGAGGAGGGCTGCTCACCGTCTCAGGGCAAACTTGATGCCCTTGCAGGCGGCAAAGCCTACAACGGCGCCGTACACAACCGACAGCAAGACAATGTACAGCCATGTCTCGACAAACCATTCCCTCATGGCAACACCAACACCGCCGCCTAGTCGGCCCACCTCTTCGCTTCTCGCCAACAGCCTCCCCGCGGCTTCGGCTGTCGTTTCCCCGGCGCCGGGGATGTCAGCATGCCGGATCAGGTATACCGCTAGCATGAGAAAGGGGAAGCCAAATCCGTCGTTGGCGCCGGCTTCCGAGGAGATGATTTCTCGGAGGTCTCTGGCGACGAATTTGTCGGCAAAGGGGCCCTTGGCGATGGCCTGGGACAGGATGGGGTCCGTACAAGTGACGCAGGAGCCGATGACGAGGGCGGCGAGGAGGGTGACTTTGGGAACCGTCGCAAGCATGCAGACGGTTGTGCAGAGCCACATGATTGTCATGATGGGCAGCAGACACATGAGCATTTCCTTCCAGCGGGTAAGGTTGTACTTGGCCGGGAGTTGGTAGCCGGCGATTACCAGTTGAAGGCCGATCATTACTCTGGCCACGCCCTAATGTTCAGTTGTTAGACACATGCCGCGTTGGACCTTGGCTCAGTGGTGAAGTGCTCAGCATCAGTTTTCCTGTCCTCACGTACAAGAGTAATGGCTTCAGTCTGTCCCGGCGTTTTCGACCCCCATCTCTCGCTGTCTATGAACTTGGCGGCTATAGGGCCCAACAAGACTCCAATAGCCACGGCGGGAACTGCGTGTCTGCATAGTCAGTAAACGTGGCGTCATCGTATTCTTTTGTGTGCTCGACGTACGTGCTTCACCCAAGTACCACTTGGCCTTGATTTTGACGGATATAAGGCCGTACAGTATAATAAAGGTTCCTGGACAACATGGTCAGCAGCAAAATAACCGATCTCGTGCTTGGCATAGTCGCACCTAGTACCCCCAACACAATGTTGAGTTCGCTCACGTCAAGAGACGGCATGATTGCGAGGGAAATGCAATGACTCGACGATGCGAAATGGGACAGAAACCTAGGGACAAGGACTCTTTCACTTTGACCAGCAAAGAAAGGAGTCGCTATTCAAGGAAAACGAAAAAAAAAGCGTATCAACGTAGGGCAATGTCAAGACCAGCACTGGTGAGGCCCCAAGGAAAGAAAGACGCGTAAACACCGAGGAAGAACAGAGACTGTGTTCTTGGTATGAAAGCTAGTGTTATTGGCTTCCCATCTTGACTTGTGCGGTACCAGTTGCGAGAACATGCGTTGAAAAGGGACGAAGAGAAGAGAAGAGCAGAGAGAACAGAAGCGCAGAAAAGACGCTATCTTGAACCTGGCGTTTAGGTGGACGGATGGAAGGCTGTTGCGGGAAAATGAAGGCAGACCCGGCAAACTGGCGCTTCCGCTATATATTCCCCCGTGGGAAAGGTCACAGAGTTCGGGATTAGAGGACCGCCTGACACGATCCTGTTTGACGGGCCCGGCAAAGAGAGCAAGCAGGTCGAGCAAGTATCAGCAAAATTGGGGCAACGGCATGTGGGGAGCGGTTTGAATCAGGTCAGCATCATGGAGGGGTCTACCGGTAGTAGCTTGAGGTGTAAATGTTTCCGGTCTGCAGAAGCCGGCGCAGGAAACGTCTGGGCCGGGGAGGCTTGTGTCTAGTTACAGATATACGCGCGGTTAGGCCCGTTCAGCCTCAGGTCAATGACTTTGAAGAATGTACCTTCTCCTTTTATGGGGTAGCAAGGAGTGTTCCGTACAGGGACAAGGGGGAGATGGCAGCTGTTATGCCAAGCACCTTGTACAATGTATGTAGATCAAGGGGTGTGAGCGCCGAGGTGGAGTTGAAAGAGGAATGGAAGTTATGCGGTGCCGTTGCGGTTACGTCAGGAGCCAGGAATAATAAGCTTTTGCCAAGGGAGCAACTTGAAGTACGTATGTGCAAATCTCATCGGAGGCTCTTTGTTGTACATTGTATACACAATTCTTGTTCGGAATGTGCGTGAAGCTTAAATGTTTGCAGCAGCATGCAGGAACCCGAAATGGGTTGGGTGCTAGGCATTTCAAGGTACGGAAGCTAGAACGACCCTTGAGGCCAAAAGCAGCCATCATGCACACATTAACCGCGGCAATGCCATCCCGACACAACCTCGTCTATTTATGGTGTGTGCATACATACATACATGTAACAACCCAGCTAGTCGATGATGGCTTCTTGGCATGTATCAAGAGCCGGGGACGCCAACCGTACGAAGTGTCCTGAGCGCACACTGAGTCCCCCAAAACGGCATGGCATGGAGGGCTCCGTAAAAGCGCTGCGCGATATCAACATGCGTTATAATACATACTTGATAAGAGTCTCCTGACCGGTCATGGTCGAGCTCTCCTCGTAGGAAGGGGGTTCGTAAGAATGGCCGAGGTGGAGCCGGGTTCAAGGTGCTCAACTTCCAAATTGGGAAGTTGGCACGGCTCCGTCTCCGTCTCCGGACAACCCGGCCGCCCGAGTACACGGCCAAAGACGCCGCGAGACACACAAGGCGGCGTGCGGAATAGCCCGCCAACGAGAGGCAGCAGATGAGGGACACGTCGTCGAAATGCTGTCTGGCGTGGGAAATCACGGCAAGAGCATGACAATTTGCGAGACGCCTTCCTTTTAGCGCCGTGACGCATTTCTCTGATGGCGGTATCTGAAGCTACTAATCACTTGGCGCCCGGGATGCCCCTTGCTTGGCCCCAGACGAGACCAGCGGCCCCTGGTGTCTAGAATATCTTGGCGGGAAATGGAAATATGTATGTACATCATTGGCCAAGTGTCGTTTTGGCTTGGAAATAAGCATAATGCCAGTACGAGACTGGCCCAGTTTAACTAACGCCACTTGATGCCACATCGGCCTACTGCATTTCAACCGGGAGTTCAGTTCAACACATGCAAGTTGTCTTCATACATCTGCATGTATATGTACTCACGGCACTCCCATGTACTCCGTACAAACCAGTTGAGCGAAATGGCCACGTCAGTGCCACATGCCACAATGCAAGCCGAAGCCGCGCCGCCATGATGGCCGAAAGTGCCGGCACGACAAACATGCCATGGTCCAAGATAAAAAGAGCGCTTATCTTACCCTTGCACAAAGTACTAGCAACAACAGTCCAGCCATGCGAGATGCCACTCTCGGGGTCGCCCGAAGCCGCGAAAATGGGAGCTGGGAGAGTGCTGTGAAACGCTTCGTGTGGGAGGATGCACGATCTACCCGGTCCCACGATTTTGTCACAGTTCTGCTATTTTTGGTGCGTTTTTTTGCATCTGCCAATCCCCATTTGCTGACGGCCAGTCTGTCAAGTGTTTCGGCTCCTCCCGCCAAGCTGGCGAGAGTGCGAAAATGCTGCCCGACGAGGACTTCTCATCTGCAGCGAGGATAGCCAACCCCTAGAATCTACACGTCCTCGCGAATCTTGGCTTGTTTCCAACGCCATGTGATGCCGCAGACGTGACGGCTACCAAGAGAACGGTGGCTCTGAGGCTGACCCAGGCTGACTTGCTCCGCGGAGCCGCAGGGCTGATGGTGTTCTTGTATTTTGGACCCTCGACAGATTCGTGACGCGTAGGAAACCGTCCATCTTCATTTGCCAGAGTCCCGTCTTCGTATGACGTATCTAACGCCGAAAATATTCATCAGTCCATGCGGACGCCTGCAAATACAGACAAAATCTCCCCGGGCCACTTCAACGGCTTTGGGAAAGACTGGAGAATATCCACGCAGATCACAAGCGGCAGGGACTCTCATATGATCATATCATGGATTTCAGCCTCCCAGATAGCTCATTCGCCGTCGTGACCGCCGGGGGTGAATGTCAGTTACACCAGTTGACCTTTCTACACAAAAGTCGGTCTCTGTCTCAAGCTGACAAGCAGCCACACAGTATTATCAAGTCGACGCCATCTCTCTTCCTCGTCGCAGCACAGCCCTAGTCTCGACCAGTTTCACATCACTCTACCATGTCCCCTTCCTACTTCACGCCTCCGCTAAAAGGGCCGCTATATCCATGTTCTAGAGGGTTTCAAGAACCACCCCCATCATATACTGTTGCTGCTGCTCCTCCTCCGCAGCAAAGCGCACAGCTCCGCTAGCAATATCAGCCAGATCTCTCAACACACAACAGCACTATTCCTCCACCTCCAAGGCAAATACTGCCTTCGAATAGAGTGAATAAAGCCCTTGGGGCATGTATCCAAGTTACTGAAGCTCGGAATTTTGCTCCTGGCCACTCTGTGCAGCGCTCTTCAGCATACCTTCTATAAACTCCAAGTCTGCTTGCCCCAGATCCGGCGACTGGCGAGGGTCAGGCAGCAACTTCCTCGCTTACCCCAGGCGTATAGGCAAATTCCCCGACTTTTGCTTCAGCACCAATTGCCTTGGCTGTGATCTTGGTGTCCACAATATGAGCTGCTCCCTTGACATATCCCATTCGATATTCAGACGCCGAATCAAACACAGAGCTCACTGATATCTGGAAACTCTCCAAGGCTCCGGACTTCAATTTGACAATGCCATGCCTCGTATCAATGGGCACTAGATGCTCACAAATCCGACTTGTGGAAGCATGGACCGTTTTCTCCCTAGAGAAATAGTCTCGTCCCCGCGGCGAAATACAGACCAACAGTAAGCAAAGTCGCCTGGAAACCCAGGCTTCGTCTCCCAAGATGTGTTGCAGTCCTTTCTGGGTTGGTTCACCAACCTCGTGACGCTGAGTTGCTTCAACTTGCCCAACTTGATTCCCTCCTCTTGTGCGTACACGATATGCACAAAGAAACAGTGACTGTCAGTAATGGCAAGTATGGCTCCTCCCTATGAAATAGTGTTCTTGGCAAACTCGACAAGTTTCTTGGCCCTTGCCATATTTGGGGCACAGGATTTTCTTCAAGGACGTGTTTGCCCGCGGATAAGGCTGCTTCGATATTCTAATCGGGCCGACATCAGTAGAGTGATGATGGCTGCTGCAACATTTTTGCCGAGGAGGTCGTGATGTGTCCTGCCAACTCCTGCATCTATCGAGTAGGGGTCGACAAGTGGTTGACCCTGGAAGTCGACCAGCCGTGTCTTGGGCTGAGTCGAGTGATCTTGAGACGATAGCTTGGAGAGACAAGCTGTTGCATTTCAGAGCGGCTGGCTAACACAATATCAAGCTGGTGAGCACACGATGGCGCATTGAAGGCCGTGAGCTTCCTCAGTAGATGCTGTTCTCGAGGATACCACCACTAATGAGGGCAACATCGATAGATGACATGGTGGATGAATTGAAAGGTGAAACTTGAGGGAGGGAAAATATGCCATTCATCGGTCAAAAACTGCCAAATGTTTTTGTATAATATATGAACATGTGTATAAGTATCTAGCCCACCCGCTGTATTAAGCAAGGAAGTAAAGCTTCCCCGGAACAGAATACAGATAATTTTGCTCAGGTAATAGTCGCTTAAGCAACAATCTCTGATGTCAGCCAAAGGACTTCTAAGATATCCCGATATCCCAATATCCCAATGGCAGTCCAGGAAAGTCATGGCCAGAGACTTTTGAGTGCGGGCAAGCCGGGGCACATGCTGACACCGAGATCAACCGTGTGGCAGATCAACCCCAGCGACATCAGCACTGCAGAGACTGAGGCGTGATCAACGTACCATTCGTGAGTTCTGTGTTGTCGATGCCAGCGCCGGGATATGTGAAACGTTATCATCTGTGCCAAGTGGGTTTCCGTTCTCGAGGAAATAGTCCAAGAATTTTCTGCAGTATGCCGCTCTTCTCTCGGTCCTCTACTTCCTAGGCACGTGTCCTTCTTGAAGTTATAGCCTCAAGTTGATTGCCCAATGCATTGCTTGAATCTGGCGTCTTCTATGAGTATGGCTAGTTTGACTGTCCACGCCATATCTGGCTCTCCGTTGTCGTCTATTTCGGCGGCTTCTTGTTTGCCAAGTCGGTTGGCTTCCCCTGAAACTGGTTCTTGATTTCGTCTAGAAAGTGCCTCAAGAAAGATTGTCTTCGTCCGGTCGCGTTGGGGTCGGCTGATAGCACGTTAGACCTCGCCACCGAAGGCTTTATGCAAAGAGGTGTTATATCTGTACCTGTCGCTTCTCCCGGCGCTAAGGGTTCGTGTGGGTTCCGGCCATGTCTTTGTTCGTGGATTGTTCGATGGATGCGACCGACGGCGCGATGGAATCCGGGCTGCCGAAGGATCTATGCAGACATGTTAGACGACGAAACAGAGCTTCCACTAGTCCCGGGCGGCATACAGCTTCGATGATTCGATCCTATGTCGACACGGTCAGTATTTGCATTGAGGCCATGTCCGGGTTGGTCACACCTCAAAGGCCTGGACAAGGCGCAGGGCCCAAAGATACGGAGACATAGCCGCGGTCCTGTCTATTAGACAGTCCTCGGTTTCCTGGGCCTATCCGTTCTTGTCGCGGGGTGACGAGCTTGGCTCTCTTTGCGATCTGTTGGGATGGTGTCGATGCGAAGTCTAGGTTGTCGAATGCAGAGGTGTTGGCGAAGGTACATTTGACATTTGGGTCGGTCGTCAGAGCTCCGACTTTCCGTGACAACAACGGATTGTTCAATGCCTCACAGAACTGGCCCCAGCATCAAGCCAAAGGCATACTACCCATGTCTCGCCCGCAAACTGACGCGAAAACGAAATTCTCGGCCGCATTCAATTGATCGACATCACTGCACTGGTCTTCATTAACCCACTCTGTGCCACACTGCCTACTCGATGGTGCACATCTCACGTCACATGTTACACGTCACTAACAAATATACTTGGGTAGTTGGCTTTGGGCCCAGATTCAGGACGGCGGATCAATTGCATTGGTTTTATTCCTAAGCCTATTTTCAACAACCCATCCCCCAGCCCTTGAACTCAACGTGGAGTACAGTGGACTAAAAAACCAGATCTGCCACATAATCTTCAACGCCTTTTGGGGGTATTTTTCGCTCCATCACTCGTTACACGTTGTCTGTCTCCGCTTCGGAGAGTCCCGTACAGAGAGACAAACCTGGCGCTAATCTCCAGATGCTTACTCAGAGACGTGCTTTCCAATGAAAGGAGTGAGGTAGTCCATCTTGCCCAGAGGGACGCCCTCCTTGCGCAAGATGTTGTAAGCGGTGACGAGATGGAAGAACAGGTTCGGGATGGCATAGCCGGTGACGTAGGCATGGCTGGGGAGCTCAGCATCCTTGCCAGGCCCCAGGCCGATGGGGACGAGGTCGCCAACTCGCTTGTTGACGACTTCTTTGTCAGTCTTGGTCAAAAGCTCCTGGACCTGGTCGATTCGTTTGTAAAAGTCGTCAAAGGTCTTGAGGTCATTCTCGAGCTTCTGCGGCTCGGCGCCAGTGCTGCGAGCCACCATCTTTTGAGCAATATCCGAGACAACATGAACCTGGAAGCTCAGAGGCAGCATGTCCTCGTGGATGCGGGCATCAGGGAGGCTAGCAGCATTGGGAGCAGTCTCGGCCTTCTTGAGGATTGCCTTCAGAGAGGTGAGATTATCCTGGGCAGTGGCGATGGAGCCGTCGTAAAGAGTGTATGACATGGTGACTGAGAGTCTGAGCTTAAGTGCGGTGGTGGTTTTTTATTTGGGTCTTGGAAGCAGCTGATGAAATTGCGTTTGATTGCGTGATAATGACAAGCTCCCGATTCAAGGGCGGTGGCAAACAGACGTTTTATATATTTGTGTCCCAAGTCCCCTAATTCCTTCCGTCTGTCAGGCCAGGCAGTATACCTTCCTTTTACTCGGCAGTCGGGACGAGCTTTACAAAGACAATCTGTTTGACCGCCCCTCATTCCCCCACTTCGTCCCAACACCATGCTACTCCATGCGGGACGCTCCTAGCCACGATCTATTTCGGCCCTCAAGAGACACCGTACGCCGATGTTTTTCTTTTACTAATGCCCTCGCATAACGGGTTGGCTGTCAGCACAGCTAAACCAGCCTCGCCAGAAGTGGATTTGCTGCAGGTGAGCTGACTAATTGGAAGCTCATCGAAAGCCGACAAACAATCAATCCCGCCGACCGTGGCGTGCGGAGTTTGACGTGTCCTGCAGGCTGGAGCCATTGGAGCCGCACGGAGCAAGCCATGCAGGCATCAATTGGATCAGAAGCTGGTGAGACGATGGCTATACCCATCAGCAGGCATAACGATGATTACAAAACACGAAAAAGACAAAAGAGGTGCTGCTAAGCAAGAGAGCTCTGTCAGTGGGCCTGAGTTTTTCGACCAATTCGCTGGATTCTATTGGCGCAAACCATCATGAGTTTTCAGCCATGTTCTCTGTCTCCATCTGGCGGAAAGCTTCAGTCAGGTTACTGCATCAGCATTGATGATACCGTTTTCACGGCCACGGAAGCTCAGACACTTGATCTGCACACCATTTCGGGCAAAAAGAGATGCCGATGTCCAGTATGTGGACTCGGAGGTGGACCAGTTGGTTACACAATTCCGTTGGTCTGATATATACGTTGGTTTCTCACGCTGATGCCACGTCTTCAGACTCTTCACCTTGCCGTCGCGATTCATAGGATGTTTCCAGATTCGCTGCCAAACAGGCATCGACTCGATCCGGCGGCACATCCGTAGAGGGCCACGGGACTGACTGACAAACCGCGATATTCGATGCTCATATTGGTCGGCCAGCACACCCCAAACTTGTTATTGGCTGTTCTTGGACCCGTGTAGGCTTCAAGCTCGCATTCGGGTGCTCTGTGAGCAAGCTCGAAACTGGACGCCACAACACGAATCAATCATCGTGAATGATTTGCAGCTAACTCGCGTATCTCGTGCACACGGGTTTCACTTTTCTGCGATTGAAATGGGCTTTCTGTTCCAAACCTCCCTTCAGTCGCTAGCTCCTTGGCCACTTTAGTGCCCTCTCCTAAGCCAGAGAACGTGGCTTGCAAGCTGCAAGGTCTCTGTCGGCGTCATGCCATCTGGCTTCATGTTGAAGTGCACAGGCATCGTTAACGTCGCCGGAACTACACGTTCTATGATGGGTATGGGAATATGGGATATTCGCACAGACCGGCTGTGGCAGTCACGTTTCTGAATATTTCCAATAACCCGTTGCCACTATCAGATTTCGTGACGGTGGGAACCTGTCGGATATATTGTGTCGATACGTAATGGTATCTTGTGCAGTTAGAAGCACAGGGTTCCTTACCAATCAATCATTCGACCGCGCCAGTTGTTAGCAAAAAGCCACAGCAACCACCCTCAAAGTGTCCGCTTGACCGACGATTCCAAGGCTAGCACGATATCTCCGCACAATGGTTTTGAGTCATTGAGCTGAAAATGAATTTCATCAAAATGTATTCCCGGTCATGGCGCTTATCAAAGAGATTCGAAAGACGACTTCCAAGTGTATCCCGGATAATATTGTCCGAAACAGATATGACAAAGACGTAGTCCCAATTCTCCGGGTACCACCCAGCAAACACCCAGGAATCATCAAGCTCTATATGAGGGAATGCTATGGGGCTGCTCAAGTTTTGTCACGTCGTTTGGAATGAGACTTGCGAGGCACATGGTAGTTTTACGGGAAGCCACTTCAACTCGGGGAGCGGATTCTGCGATTTATCTTATACGTCAAGTACCAAATTGGTGACGACACACTTTCAAAGACATTGATTCCCTCTTGGTGTCGATTTCGCGTCAGAATCCCAAGGTGACATTTGCCCTTTCCACAACCTCTCTTTCGCCAGGCGAAGCACCGTCTCGCACTTCAATCTTGTCAAGGCCAAATGCTTGGCGTCCAATGCCATTTGTCCAGCTACGCAACATGTCTTCGGTCGGTCGGCCGACGTGTCGAGATTCGCCCTCGCCACCAGGGAAGTCCGGCCCTGGTGTTCCGTCACGAAAGGCCTGTCGCTGGCGCGCAATATATGCGGCATTGATGTCCGTCACAGGGCATACGGGAATATACATGACACTGGAATCTCCGCGGCCGCCGTGGACCTTGTCGACGGAATGGATAGCTGTTGAGCGGGTGGGAGTACGACATCAGCAAGGGGGGGGGCAGGCAGGGGGAAGTTGGGTGTAAGTGGACTTACTGTCACAATGCCATGCAACGAAATCACCAGGCTTGATTTTTGGCACATGCACCATGGTTCGCTCCAGCTCGAGATGCGGGTGCAGCTCGTCGGTGAGTTCCTGTCCATGGCCAGGTGAAGCACCTTGCAATTCGCTGCTCATATCAGCCTCACTAATCAACTTCCAGTTGCTCTCGTCGAGGAATCCCGTCGACGTCTTGGATTCGTTCAACGGGGCGAAGAATGGGCGAAGCAGCACGTAAGCCGTTGCCATGTGCATAAGAGGGTTGACCAGCAGAGTTCCCTCGCGAGGCCCAGATTCGCTCATGCTCATCCAGCCTTGCCACATTCTGAACATGGTGCAGGCGCCTAGGCCATCGTACAAGTTGTTGACTGCTTGGACGCGACCACTGGCGTCCCACGGGTCGTACTTTTCCCAGTCTCCTTGCAAGATTCTATCATAGACGCCGCCGAGCCCGTATCCGTTCCTCTCCCATCTCTCCACGCTGCCGCCGTCAATATGCGGGCCCAGCGCAAATGTAGCATCGCCCGGCTGTCGGATGCGCAACCGATCGGCGTAGGAAAGAGGATTCTGCAGAGATATCTGTGCTTGATCCGACGAGGTATGCCAGAGTAAAGACATGAGACGGTGTTGTACTTGCAATAGGGACGGGTGTGAGCGGGCCTTGAGCTGCGGCGTGGACCAGTACAGCTCGTATACTTGCGGGTTGTCCGCGGGAAACGCTTCCGAACCCTGTTAGCATATAGGGCAGACCTTCTTCTAGCAATTAGAACAAGCTTCTGTGTAGATGCTCACCTCGAGTCCACGGATTCTTGTTTACATAGTCCTCAATCTCCTCCTTGTAAGCCCTTGCCTCTCCCTCGGGAACCACCCCCCTGACGACAATGGCACCACGTTTCCTAATCTCCTCCTTCAGCCCTTCACACCCCGCCTCCAAGTCAGCAAAGTTCACCTGAGGGATGACGTCTGATCCTTTTTGGGCAATGATCTCATTCTCTGCCCTCAACCGCCGGAGCAGTCTCGTCCAGCTATCAGCAATCTGCCTCTCCCTGCCCCTGACCAAGTCACACTTTAGTTTTCGAAAGCGGTCCGGCAGAGGCGGCCGCCTGGCGCCAGACAAGGAAACAAAGGCATCAGAGATGTCTCCCTCCTTCTTTACGGCTTTTTGCGCCGTCGCCGTAGAGGCAGCTCTCGTGAGTGCCGGGGAACGCCGGGCGATCTTGGCTACAGAGGGTGGTAACATGGTGACGATGCACAGCACACAATTTGGAATCAAAATAAATGCATACAGATGAAGAGGAACAGATGACCCCAGAAAAACAAGCCGAACAACCACTCCAATAAATAGTAAATATTCAGCCCCCTCGACTTTCGTCACGGGCTCTACTACAGCCGTGTAAGTGGCGCGGTGTTTCCTTTTCGGGAAGTCCGCACCCCGCTTGGCATAAACCAGACTTGCCAGACACTGGACAGCTATCTCGGCGTGAAAACATGGTAAATCCTTCCGACAATTCGGAACTGCAACAAGTAGAAGGCTCATGCCCAATAATGAATATTGTGCCAACTCCAGGCATTGCGAGCGCCTTGGTCGGCCAAGAATACACACGTAGTAGTTTGCACACGAGACCCCTCCAAGTCCCCAACTCGCCTCCAAACACGCCATCAACATCATCGACACCCAAGACGCAAGAACGCAAAAAGCAAGCCAAAGAAACGAGACGCGCAGGAAAATGGCCCAGCCCGTAAAAGTCAAAGTCTCGCTGCCCATGCTCGCCGCCCACATCGACCACTCCCTCCTCCACCCCACCCTCACCGATGCCCAAATCACCACGGGCCTCCTCCTCTGCAAACAGCACGCGGTGGCAAGCGCCTGCGTGAAGCCGTGCTCGGTGCCGCTCGCCGCCGAGGTGCTCGCCGGCTCCCCCGTCAAGGTATGCGCCGTGGTGGGCTTCCCGCACGGCAGCTCGACGGCGGCGACCAAGATGGCCGAGACGGTCGAGGCGCTCGACGCGGGCGCCGCCGAGATCGACATGGTCGTCAACATCGGCAAGGCCCTCGGCCGCCAGTGGCACTACGTCGAGCACGAGGTCAACGCCATCAACCGCATCGTCACGACGAGGGGCGCCGTGCTCAAGGTCATTTTCGAAAACGACTACCTGCAGCACGAGCACATCCGCAAGCTGTGCGAGATTTGTACCGACCTGGGCGTCGGCTTCGTCAAGACGAGCACCGGGTACGGCTTCGTGAGGCGGGACAATGGCATGTACAGCTACGAGGGGGCCACGACGCCGCACCTCAAGCTGATGAGGGCGTCGGCCGGGCCAGGCGTGCAGATCAAGGCGGCCGGGGGCGTGAGGACGCTGGACGACGTGCTGCACGTCATGAGCCTCGGGGTGACGAGGGTGGGCGCGACTGCTACCGAGGCCATCTTGGAGGAGGCGAGGGCGAGAGGCATAGGCGACGAGGAAATCGAGGTCGAGGTTCGGCGGAGCGATGGCACCGACGGAGACGGAGCTTCGTGCTAGCTACTATTTTTTGCGTGGATGGTGCAGACAGAGACGATCCTCGTGTCTGTGCCGAGAAGTCGCTACTGTTTTGAGAAATGCACTGCGCAGCGAGGAGATGATAGACGTCGTAGCCACTCATAAAACATTCATTACCCAAAAATACGACCACCTTTGCTACCCTCTTCCAACACCCTACAGTCACAAAACATGCTGCAAATTTAAGCTCATCATCGCTGCCCAGCCAAAGAAGAAGAAGAAAAAGAAGAAGCCTACTGTACATTACGGACAGAACTGGTGGGGAAACCAAGTGCTGCCAGAGTAAAAAAGAGAAAACGGGGGGTTTGTTGCAATAGTAAGGGTTTCCATGTCTCAGATGGTCATATATCCCAGCTCGGACAACACATGCAATACTACTCAGTGTCTGTGTTTGTCCTCCTTACTCTCTCTCTGAGATCTCTATTCTCCAATTCCAATCCGCCGAGCCGTTGCCGTGCAGCTGCTCGATCTTGGTTGCGGCCTTCTCGCTCCATCTTCAGTTTATACTCCATGTCCCGAAGTCTCAGGAGCCAGCGGTTGTCATTATTGGTCGGCTCGCCCTCACTCGGCAAGGCAACTTCCATGCTGGTGAAATTGCCCGAGGATGGCCGGGGTATGCCAGAAGCAGTGTTGGACCGAGATGACCCCCCTGAGCGGCTGTTCCTGTCTTGGCTCAGCTGGGAAGTTCGACTCCTATCACGATCTCCCGGCCCGCGTGGAATGCCCGGTGAAGGTGAGCCTTTAACAGTGGTACCTCTGCCTAAAGGTGTTGTTGTGCCGTCATGGGCAGCACGACTTCGTACATCATTGGCCGTCCGAAGCGTCGCATTCTCAACCTTGAGTTGGCGATAGGCATCCTCCAACCGGGCCATTCGACTGTGCATATCCTGAGGAGCTAGGCTTCCCGAGGCCACCGAGTTTCGCAACATGGTCTCGAGACGATCCAGCTTCTTGGTTCTCACTTCAAGATTGTTCTCAAGAGTCTGGTACTCTCGATGCAAGTCTCGTTCCACCGACTTGATCTTGGAATGCAGCCCTCCAAACATAGCCTCAATCGCCTTGATGGCGCCAACAAGGTTTTTCGAGAAGCCGGGAAGCCGGGTCGCAATCACTTCAACCGATGGGACAACTTGCCGATCGACAAGCGTATTGTTATTAAGCCATTCCCGCCCGCAAAGAGCACTCAATTTGTGCCACAGCATCAGAAGCAGCTCGTTCCTCTCTGTAAGCTGATCGCGAGCAGTCTGCTCAAGCTGGGCAAGCCTTCTGCGATCCTGACCCCTGGTGCTCTCCAGCTCCGCAATTCTGACATCCTGGGTACTAGCCGTCTGTGTGAGGTGCTGATGTGTCCTCTGAAATGTGTCATATTGCGCCTTTGTATTGCGGTGCGCGACGCGCTCCCTTTCCAACAACTCGGTAACCTTTCGTGACTCAAGAGCATGAGATTCCAAAAGAGCGTCTCGTTGTTTAATGATGCGATCTTTCTCGACCAACGACGCCTTTGTTGTATCGAGCTCGCGAATTGTGTTCTCGAGTTCCCGTTGCATTTTGGCAATCGACTAGAGTTGAGTCGTCAGTATACCACAGTCATAGATCAAGAGTGCACAATACGAACCTTGAGAAGAGAAGATCGGGTGCCGTTGAGGTCACCAAGAGCTTCTCGAAGATTATTCTCGAGCTCTATCAACCTCTCCTTCCACTCCGTAGCCTCGACCTCCCGAGACGACAGACTCTTACGCAGTCGCCTTACTTCGTCCTTGGCATTTGAAGCCTCCCGGTTGAGTTCATTCACAACCTGCTGGACCTCTTCCTTTTCCTTGTCGGCGACAATCTCTCTGTGCATGCGCTCTTGTTGAAGGCGGTTATCCAACTCCCTGGCTCTGTCTTTTTCGTCTCGCAGATTTTGCTCCGCGTTGGCAATTGCCGCCTCCAGATCCCCGATACGAATCTTGTCCACCTCTTGCTCCTCGCGCAAAAAGGCAATCTCTCCCTGGCTTGATTCTTGTTGTATCGAGAAGCGCTGGTTCTTCTCGTTTGCCTCCATCAACTTCTGTTCCAAGTCCTCGAGCTCCTTATTTGACGAGTCTAACTCTTCCTCAAGCTGTTGGATACGACGCAATTTGCCGGTTTGTTCATCTTCCAGCCGCACCAGAGCCTCGCTCATCTTTCGCATCTCTTCCTGCAAGGCGTCGAAATTCTCTGAGCGATCTTTCAAGTCGGTATATGCGCGCTGAATCTCTTCATTACGTTGATCGGCCTCGGCCTCCATCGCATCGATCTCTTCCTGGGCTTCATGGCGTAAAGCTTCAAACTCGTTCTCCATTTCACCCTGTTCGCGAACGGCCTCGTCTCGTTCAGCTTGTAGAGCAACGAGATCGTTCATAGCCGTGTCAAGATCTTCTTGCAGGGACATGGCGTTATCTTCCGCTTGCCGCTTGCCCTCGACCGCAGCCTCAAAGTCTACCATGCAAGACTCAAGTTCTCTCTGCAATTCCTGGTTCTGGAGCCTGACTTCGCTGAGTTTGTCTCGTACTTCAGCCAGCTTGTTTTCTAGCCCCTCGCGTTCAGATTCTTCCTCAGCCAAAGTCTGCCTAGTCCGTCCGCTTCCCCGGGATTGTGATCGTTCATGACCACCGGCACGGGACGCCGAGCGGTCAAGTATGCTGTCTATGGTGGATGGAGCAGGACCACCACGGCGCTGAGCCATTTTGAGATCTTCAATCTCCTGGTAGAGCCTTTCTTTCTCGCGGTTCCTCGAAGTAAGCATTGAAGTCTGCGCGCCAACCTCACGCCTCAACTCAGCGTTCTCATGCCGCAGTTGTTCACTTTCCCGCCGCAGTTCATCAACCAAGACGTTAACCCCGCCGAGGTTCGTGTCGGGAACATTTGTCTCCCCAGATAGACCAGACGTTGCTCGAGTAGGCGAGAACGCGCCATCGCGAGGCTTCTTGGAAATATTGTAAATATTGGTGGTGTGTTGCATGTTGCCTTGCGCAGAAAGCTCCTTCTTGAGCCGAAAAATTTCGTCCCGTAGTTTCCGGTTGTCTTCATCTGCTTGTTCTCGACGGACAGTTTCCTGTTCCAGCAAGTCGCTCCAAACCGCAGATTCATCAGGCACGCCGGCATTACTGCCAGATCGCTCACCAAGCGTCTTGACCATTTGAACAAGCTGCAACTTCTCCGATTCCCGACTAAGACTCTCGTTGCGAAGCCTCTCGATCTCAATAGCATACTCTTCAACCCGTTCGCGCAGGTATATAAGCTCCTGTTCTCTCTCATAGGCATCTTCATCGTTTGTTTTGGAGGTTTGATCTGTCGACGAGGCCGTGCTTGGTCTATTGTCTTCATCTCGGGCTTGTCTCTCGAGCTCCTTGATGCGTTTCCGGAGGATTTTGTTGTCACGTTGCAACACCGCAAGACTAGTTTTGAGTTCCACGTTCTCAGAGATCATTTCTTTGATGCCTTCCTCAGAGAGTCTATCCAGACGGTCGCTCAGAAACATGACCTTCAGCTTTAAATCAAAGTTCTCCTTTGACAGCCTCTCGATAGTGCTGCTCTGTTCTTTCAACGTGAGGTTCCTGCCGGTTTTTGTTATGGTGTCAGTGCTAATACTTGTGGTGAGGTTAGATGGTCGGCGAGGCGTTTGAAGGCTGTTCTTAAACCGGTATTCCTTCACCAACGACTCGGGAACTTGTACATTCTTGACATGCTGAGCTATGACGGTATCTGTAGGTGCAGTAGCCTTCAAATTCTCTCGTGAGGCCTTTGGGGTCCTGAGGGGGTCGTTGTGGTTCGGTCTGTCAGGGCTCGAGACTTCTGGAAGAGTATCCAGGTGGTGGTTTGGCAAATCATTCAAATCGTCGCCACCGAAGCCAGACACCATACTACCAACACTTATCGAACGCTGAAAGGGGTTGCTTGTCGAGCGTAACATCCCCAACGCCGGAACGGCGCCGCCTGATTGCAGAGCATAGTCAACACCATGGCCGATAGTGGCCTCGCTACCGTCTTGTGATTCTGGATTCGTGATGAGCGAAGATGTCGATGATCGGTGGCTGCCGTACCGGCTGCGCAAATATTTTGACCGTTTGCCAATCCTCAAGGAATTACTGGGTGTGCTTCCCGTGTCAAGCTTATCAGATATTTGGGATTGTAAGAACGGGTCGTCTGCACCAGACAGAAATGAATGTTCGGTCTCGTCTCTATAATCATCTTCGTCTGCTGCCGCAGGCGCAGTACGGCCATCCCTTGTCGCGCTACTAGCCATGCTAACAGCTCTCGAAATGGTTCTTGCAGCGGCGGCAGTCGTAGGGGAAGAGTCCAGATTCTCAAGACTCGATGTAGTATTTCCAACATCAACATCACTAGTATGGTCGTCGTCTCGTTTCTCCGCATTCTGGTCCTTCTTTCTGCCAGATGTATCTATCGTATCGTCGGCGCCAGTCGCATCCTCAGCTGTTGTCCTTGTAGCGATGGGAGACAGCGTGGGCAAGAAGCTCGACTCTTGGTCCTTGAAATGTTCGCGTACAGCCTCTTCCGTAATAGTGACATCAGGTGCCCGGCTATGATCTATCGTTACGGCGTCAACGTAGCTGCTCTCCATTGCAGACGGGCCAGTGGTGCTTCCCGAGGCAGAGGCGCCGCCAGGTGGTGGTAACAGCTTCAGAATGGAATCGTCAGGTTGCGCATTCGCGTCATGCCCAGTGTCTTCCGGCGCGGAATCGCTCTCTTTTGAGTCCCGCATGGTGTTTAGCCGCGCGCGTGGTCGTGCAAGGCAGTGGTTTATTGGAGACCAGCAGGGCGACAACTCAGCATCAGGCACCTGTACGGCGCATCTTGAAGCTTCAAGCGTGTGCTCTGCAGTGATGCCCAGGTGGACCGCAAGGCGACACTGGAGCTGGAGGATGCACCCAAACTTGAACGCGCCTTCCCGCAGTGGAGATCAATAGGAGACAGCGCTTGGATATGGGCATGAAACACTTTGCATGTAAGGACAGGCGTCAAAAAAGAAAGGAAAAAACAGAACGACTTTGGAATGCCCCCGTCGATGGCGGCGACGCCAAATGCATGCACCAGGGTTAAGCTGGCTCTAATGTTTTGATTCGCAATATCGTCAATGGAGCTTGTCGACCTCGCCCCGAGTCATCTGCCCCTCGGGCGTCGTGCCTAGTGGCTGTTGGTTGCTCCTACCATTGAGTTTTGGTGGAACTTGCACTCAAACGCTGTCACTACTTGCGTACTAGTCTCAAGTGCTACTAGCGTGCGCGTGATGGAGTCTCTGGAGCAGCAACCCTCTGTCATCTTGCCAGGCAACCAGGCTGATCGGCCTCAGGCCATGTGGAGCCATCTCGACTTTAACCCGGCGGGCCTTGGCCTTGCATATCGAACCAGACTTGATGCACCATCGGACAAGACTCATGAATATACCAAGTTCCATCTTGGTCTCTTCTCGTATCAGATTCTTGGCATCTACGTGTAGATGCATGCATTAGGTTATACCATCTAGTTATCTCTCCTTACATCACAATCATCGCGCTCCCTCTCCCACTGTTGTGTTTTTCGTCATGTCCGCATCACTGGCACCAGAATGCAACGAAGTAAAAGAGTACGGCAGACAGCGCAAAGCATCCTCGGCTTGCAGGACTACAAGCTGACTACTCTTTGCTCACAGACGATACGATACCTGCTTCTTAAAATGGTACAGTGAAAGTAAGTCGGCACACACCACGAACTAGTTCACTGGGGCACGCAGAGTTGTGCAGCGCTGAGCCACGAGAACTAGAGTACCTTCGAGCAGCAGAAAAAGACAACAAGGAGTGTGCGGATCTCTTTCAGCAATACCAAAAATGCCTCGGGGTAAGTCTCTCTCCAATCGACGGTTGGGTGGCTTCAGCACGGTAACTCTAAGCGTATTGCTGCAGGTTGCGCTCAAAGACCGGGGCATTGACAAACTCCTCGATGACGCTCGTGAGGATAACAAGGAGAATGATACCAGACTGTTGACGCCAAAAAGTAAGATTTCGTGCATGTGGCTTAACAATGAAACCTCCCACATCGAACGGCGGGATGACTGACCACGAGACAGAATAAACATCTAGGCAGGCCCCGACTGCATTCACACTTCATCGCTCACTATATCCCAACCCCTGTATCCGTCTTTCACACACATGTATATTATCTCGATATATCTCATAAATGATAGACATTTAAAGAAATACAAACCAAATGTGCATTATGGGCATAACGCGCAATGTCCTGTTTTGCAGGGTCATCGCGAATAACCCGACATCGCGCCTATTCCAACCCAACCCAACCCACCAAAAAAAAAAAAAAAGAACGCCCGATAGCTGTTACAGTCGATATCAACTTTATCTATCTGTCTTTTGGCATTCAATGTAAGCATGTAGTGAGAGGTATGAAGCATTTGACCTAACCAGATACCAGGTTTATGTCCACTATGCGGTGAGCTAACCTGCTCGATAGCCCTCTCCATACTAGCGAATCAATGATTTCGCCCAGAATATGTACGAGTTTTCTAGATTGATAAGCACCTAACAGATCTACTGCTCTCTTTAAATATAGCCACCCCCCACCACCACAGGGCCCTTGATTACTGCACGGTTACGGCCGATTATCTTCACCAATCGCCAGCATTACTGCTGTGGGAGGGGAAAACAAGCACTGAGAACCCACGCAATTAGTTCGAATCGATAGTTTGAATCGAGGTACTCGGCTTACAAGCAAGCTCTCGGATTTGTTAGGATTTAGGGCGAGCTAGCCACTCTCGATAAATGTCGGTAGTAGAGTGGCATGACGATATGAACTGCCTGGTCCGGGCACGATGCATCATTTGCGAATTGAGTTCTTTGTGTTTTGCATTCCACTCCTGTATTGTCACATCCGGCAGAGGTACCGAGATCTGATACTACCAGCACCACCTTGACGACACTGGATCATTGGGCCAATCAGGGGCTTCCTATTTTGCCATGCCTCCTACCCCACAGGAATGACAGATGCGCGCGGCTTCAAAGACCAGATTCTAATTCTACGTGCGCCATCCATCGGACAAGGAGCCAATCTGTTCTACAACCATCGCTATCCTTGATGGCTGCATTCGTGAGTTCCTCTGCCGTTAATTGATTCTCTCCTGCCTCTCCTGCCCCCTTTCACGCAGAGAATCCTAGTTAACAGGCGATTTCTGTAGCAGAGAGTCATTGCTCTCAGCGCCGGCACACGATTACGCCCTCCGACCCTCATCGCCGACCCTCGATCTCTTTCCGCCCCCTTGTCCCATGGCCGCGCCTGTATTTCCACCGGGCCCCGATCGCAATATGCTTTCCACTCCCAGCTTGAAAGCAGCCCCGATGCCGTAGCCCTCAGCTCCCCTCAGCGGCCCCCAGCCCCGGCCCTCGCCCAGACCCTCACCGAAAAGATTGTCCAGCGATACTCCACGGACCTTCCCCCCGGCAAGAAGGTCAAGGCCGGCGACTATGTCACACTGTCCGTTCTCGAGTCTATCCAAGGTTGCATGTGGCTAACCCTCCGTAAAGAAAACCTAGCATTTGTATGACTCATGACAACTCGTGGCCAGTAGCCATGAAGTTCATGCAAATGGGGGCCTCCAAGATCCGTGACAAACGCCAGATCATTATGGTGAGTAAAACGTATTGTTGCAACTAATGAACTCCGGCTAATTGATTGCAAGTGCCTTGATCACGATGTGCAAAACGAAACACCTGCAAATCTTAAGAAGTACAGCCTGGGTCAGTCTTCTCTTGCAACTGAATTCCCCCCTTTTTCTCTCTCTCTCTTTTGGATATGTCTCATGAGCACTGCTCCGCAGACACAGTCCTAAACACAGTTATACACCGTAATATTAACTGGGACCTGTAGTGGAGGAGTTTGCTGGCCGGCATGGTGTTCAGTTGTAAGTCTTCTCTCGCCAGTGAGTTGTCCCCTCTGGTAACCCAAATAAACTCAAGCGTTCATTGACTAACGAATCTGTAGTTACCCGGCCAAAAGAGGCATAGGTATATAAAATCACTAGCACATAAGGTACTGAAGGATGGCAAGCCTGCTAACTATCAGATAGGCCATCAAATTATGGTCGAAGAAGGTAGAGCATCGCTAGCGCTTACGATCGACGGGTGGCATATTAACAGGTGAATAGGACACGCCTGGCCAAGAACTGTGTCCGTCGCTAGTGACAGTCATTCGAATCATTATGGTGGTATTGGAGCGCTCGCACGTTACACCACCTACGAGGATATTTTAGATTGTAAAGCACTAATTTTATCTCTAGGGAACACCCGTTGTAAGAACGGACGCGGCTAGCATATGGAGTCAATCCAAGACTTGGTGGCAAATACCTCCAATTGCCAAGATCACATTCACTGGCATCCTCCCCCGTGGTGTCACTGGTAAAGACGTCATCGTATTTTTAGCCGGATCACTCAACCAGGACGAGGTTTTAAACCATGCCCTTGAATTCACGGGTTCCGAGGAGACTCTGGCAAGCATCCCAATTCCGGACCGCTTGACGATTGCAAATATGACTACTGAGTGGGGTGCTTTGAGTGGTAAGTGGAAGGCGAAGGAAACAGACAAGCAAGTGCTAATACATAATGAAGGGCTATTTCCCGTTGATAAGACACTCATCTCTTGGTACCGTGCCAAGGCTACTACTGCTGCTATGTTCAACAGCCCACTCACGGAGCGCGTCAACCACGAGCGCATCGATGAGCTTGTCAAAGACAAATTAGTTGCCGACCCCGGCGCTTCTTATGCCAAGGAATTTTACCTGTATGTCTCATAAACACTGCTACAGGCGTTTTCAGGCAATTATTAACTTTCCAGAAACTTATCTACACTTTACCCAGTTGTTGCCGGGCCTAACTCGGTGAAAATTATTACCCCTGTCCGGACTCTTGAGTCTCAGGATATTCCTGTAGATAAGGCTTAGTACGTATTCCCCAGTCAAGACTCCCCTTTAGCTTCATATCACTGACTGGGTAAGTCTCGTTTCCTGTACCAACGCTCGGAGCTCGGATTTCGCTGCCGCCGCTCGTGTCTTCCGAGAGGCGGCTGAAGATAGTCAGCCTGCTAAAATTGCTCCCGGTGTTGAACTTTACATTGCTGCAGCCTCTGTTCCCGAGCAGGAGTCAGCCGAGGAGGCAGGCGACTGGCAGATTCTAGTTGACGCTGGTGCCCGTGTACTGCCACCTGGCTGTGGCCCATGTATAGGTCTTGTTAGTTAACCCCTAAAACTAAAAAGTCCATGACTGAGCGTGTCCTAGGGTACTGGTCTTCTTGAAGACGGCGAAGTTGGTATAAGTGCGTCAAACCGCAACTTCAAAGGTGCTTGAACTCCTTGCTAGCTGAGATTTATAACTCCAAGACTCGTTATAAGGACTGACGATATCCTAGGTCGCATGGGATCTACCAAAGCAAAGGCCTACCTAGCTAGCCCAGAAACTGTCGCAGCTAGTGCTCTTCGGGGTAAGATCGCCGGCCCTGGTTGGTACCAGAGGCCCGAGGGTGTCCAGAAGGTTATTATTGGCGAGGGCAGCGGTGATCATGTCGCCGACAAGGCTCGGTCTATAGAGAAGGCTCTTGACAAGCTTCTTTGTGAGGCCGATAGCGTGATTGCCACTGCTGAAGGCGCCGGCGCAGAGCAGTCATCCAGCCCCGCTGCGCCTGAAGATGAAGCTTTAACTGAGGTTATCCCTGGCTTTCCCGAGAGGATTGAAGGTGAGATTGTCTTTTGTAACGGGGACAACATCAACACCGATGGCATCTATCCGTAAGTCCGATCCATGATGCAACTCCCCAAAACTCAAGACAAACAGGCACGGTTAACCGAGTATCACAGGGGCAAGTACACTTATCAGGATCATGTTTCAAGGGAGAAGATGGCAGAGATATGCATGGAGAACTACGACCCTGAATTCAGCACAACTGCTAAGCCCGGTGATATCTTGGTAGCAGGCTTTAACTTTGGCTGTGTAATATCTCCTACTCTTGCTATAAGAAGCAATCTCTAACCTGATGCAGGGGTCCTCAAGAGAGCAAGCTGCAACTGCCATCTTAGCGAAACAGATTCCTCTAGTCGCTGCCGGCAGTTTCAGCAACATCTTCAGCCGTAACAGCATTAACAATGCTCTCCTCGGTGTCGAACTGCCTGCACTTATACACCGTCTCCGCGAAACGCACAAGGACAAGGAAGTCCTGACCCACCGCACCGGCTGGCGGTTGCTCTGGGATATTCGCCGCTCCAAGGTTGTCATTACCGAGAAGGATGGCTCCTCGTGGGAGCAGAAAGTCGGCGAGATCCCCCCCAACGTGCAGGAAATCATCGCTTGCGGTGGACTTGAGGGCTGGGTCAAGACTAAGATCGCAGCTGAAAAGCAATAATAACTCTCTCCTGATAAATAGATAGTATTGTTTTGGGTGTTCCTGGCATCTGTTGTCTTGGTTACTACAACGGGCTTTCTTTTCTAATCCTGGGATGAACGCTATAGATGTTTGAATTTGAGTTACTCGGCTGTTATATGTCATCTAGCATGGTACATAATAGCTGATATACTACGTAAATGACTGGTATAATTGGCTGGCATAGAGTAGTTGGTATAAAATGGATCGTACACAGATTGTTCCATCCACCAAGTCCTACCCCCTGGCCCAGTGCAATGTGACAAAACGGAAGCGTAGAGAATAGCGGGTTTATTTTTTTGCATTTTTTGCATTGATTACTTACACCTGCCTATATCCGGCCACAGGCCAATATACACACACACCGGTAGGCAGGACAGGAACAGGAGGAACACATGAAAGTTCCCCGAGATATGTAGCAGTAAAGCTCTCACCAGGACACGTAAACAGGGGCATCCCACATTATCTGAATCTGTACTCCGTAGTTTCATGTCTAACAAACGAAAATACTGGCATGGTATCTGTGCCGCCATGGCGCCAACCTCAAGTCTCAGAGGCAACACATCACCCCCAAGAACCATGCCACATTATATCCATCCGTCATCCCAACCGCAAATCCTGTTTCCCTCCTGAGGGGGGTGGGTATCTCAATCACGTCAATTTAATTGGAGTACTTGGAGTCGACACTCTTGCTGTACACAATGACATGTCGTCAGCGACTTGGTGCCATCAGATTGCCACTTTGATACACGTCGACTTACCCAGAGTACTTCTCGTAGGCTTGGCGAGCACCGTCGGTAATCTTCTCCTCCTGGTCGCGGCTGAGGTTCAGGCCGGCCTTCTTGGCGACGAAGTCGAAAGCTGTTTTTCGTTCAGCCAGCGTGTCAGTGGACATGCAGGCCGAGCGGCAAGTGAGATGTGACAAGCTTGGGAGAGGACCTGCCAGACACGGCTGTGTGCGACGGTTTCATCCGTTTGCCAGAGGAGGGAAACGGCTTACCCTTGTCACCATAGTCCTGCTGCTGGTCACCACCCTGCTGGTTTTGGGTGTTGTTGTTGCTGCTGCTGTTACCACCCTGGTTCTGCTGGTTGTCACCACCCTGCTGCTGCTGCTGCTGGTTGTTGTTGTTGTCATTGTTGCTGTTACCGCCAGCACCCTGGGCGGAGTTGACGGCCTGCTTGAGGAAATCCATTGTGTAAAGCGATGAAGCAGATAAAGTTTGAAACGATGAACCTGGTATCGATGCGCCGAATTGATAAAACTGCAGAGATGTAGCAAAGTTTTTTTTTTTCTAAAAAGATGACCAAGGTTTAGGCGGATCTATCGTCAACTTATATCTCTCGTCCAGCTCGCAACGCCTCATTCGGACCTCCTCCGCTTTTAATCCATTCCCCTCTTTCACTTCATTTCAGCCAGGGAAATGGTTGTCCAGTCTGGGAATGGTGGAAGAAGGCGTCTTTTTGCCTGGTGAGACTTTGCAATTCGAGCTAAGGGGTCCCATGGCGGTCCACGGGGTCCTGCAAACCATTTCAGCTAGACAAGCAAAGAAGCTTTCGCTAGGTCATATCTGGTGGTGGGGGAAAGGGGCAGGATGATTCGGGGCAAAGAGTACGTGTTGCTAGTCCCCCTCCATACGTGTCTTGCGTCTTCGAAGGCTCAAATTTGCCCACAATGGCGCTGCGTGTTGGGTAGGTCCAGGATGAGCGCCTCTCGATGGTTTGTCCGGGTCGACGGGATACTCGGATGAATGAAGAGGAAACGGACAGGCCAGTCGTCTGAGCATGGCACTGATACGCACTTTACGTCTGGGTATTTGGGGTAGGGTTGCCAGGCCAGCAATGAAAGTATGTACGGAGTACTACTTGTATCCAACAAGCTAGTAGCTGGGTTTCCTGGCGAGCATGGGACTCGACAATCAATGGTTCCTCCCGACAGGCTGCCGATATTCCCGATATGGCCAACGATGGATGCTACTTCTTGCATGTGGCCCTCGAATGAAATCGGCCCCGCCAAGGGGTGATGTGATACTGATAGGCGAGATGTCCCGTTGATTATGATGGCTGCGCCTCTTCTGGAGGTTTCTCATGCCCACAAATCAGACCCTCTCCATCCTGGCCTGCTAGCTCGGAAGTTTCTCGACTGTTGAAAGCGTCGAGATTGTCAGGGTTCTCTTCTGCATACTGCTGATGCAGGGACTGGTCCAAGAGGAGGGGGCAACATTGAACGGAGGGTCGAATCGACGGGGTGGAGGGATGGACTCGATGGAGGGATGGCCGGGAATTGAGGGGCAGCCACAATGACGACGCTCAGGGCTGGGATTTTGTAAAGCTTCGCGGGCTCCCGGCACCTGGGCCCATCAGCTCCCCGTAACTGGCCCACAAGCCACCAAGACTTGTATGGAGAAATGGTTGATAGTACTAGTAGTAGCACTTGAGCTGATTCAACGGGCCCAAGAACTCAGACTCTCAGAGCCTGGCTGAAGGCATATCAGCCTCCGTGAGTACCCAGTGCCTCTACAGATCACAGAACAAGTATGAACCACGCACCCACAAAGGTCAAGTTACTGTTACCATCAACAGGAGCAACTGGCTCCATTCTGTAGTTATTGGCTCCTCAACCAAGCAATTCAAAAAAGAAGAAGGAGAAGAAAATACAGGCTGTGCAAGCCGCCAGATATCTGTTCCAAAAGAAAACACCAATCTCCCACCCCCCTAGCCATCTTGTCATACACAGGAAATTCCAACGTCGCCGTCGTTAACCATTACTCATACACACAAACAAATGAAAAGATTTGAATGATTGACTGCTCCCGCTGATCCTTTGCCTTTTTATCGCCAATAACATACGCCAAACCAAAAAAGAAAAAAGAAAAAAAAACACCCCAACTAGCCAATACTATACAGACTCGTTGGACCTGGTCATGAATTGACAAACACCTGGTAGGCCATAATCATGACCCAAACCAAGAAAACAATTCCCGTCAGCGACATGGCAAACACCAAGTGCCAGCATTGACCTGTGTGTCCGATTAGCGACGGTGCCGCGGCAGAGAATCGTCTATACATGTATACGTATACGTATACTATACATATACATGTATATAACAGACAGGCGAATTCAACTCACATATATTCTTCTGCTGCATCCACGCCAGCGTCTCCTGGTTCAGCCCATGGGGACTCCTATTAAACACCTGCAGGTTGCAGGTGCTCTGGATCGAGCCGCTCGGCCCCCAAAGCTGAACCGACACGATAACCAAGCCGACAAGCCACAAGACGAAGAGCATAAAGGCGCCGATCATAACAATGGCCGGCAACAGCCGGCGGGTCGCAATGAGCCAGAAGATGAAGCCCATGAAAAGGATGGCCACGGATCCAACGGTTATAAAGTAGGGAAAGTACCTGTTGCAGCAGCAGAATGGGTAAGTAAAGAATCCGGGGCGGAGGCGAGCGAAACAATTTTTCTAAATAAAATAAAAAAAGACTGTACAACGTACCAAGGTATGGGCAGATCCAACTGCGTCTGGATCTGGATAAAGGACGAAAACACGCCGACGATGCTGGATGCCGACAGCAGCATGACGAAGATCCAGAAATTGAGCTGCAGCGGCGGCCAGTTATACGTGCGGATCTGGCTCACGGCTCTTCGCTCATAGACAATCGAGCTGCCGCCCAGCGTCGACGTGAGTCTGCTTTTCATCGCGGCGGCTGTGTGTTGGATGTCTTTCGCAAGAACTCGTCAATATCAGACAACAGTAGAGCCGAAGCGTCTGCCCGTTGGTGGCGACGACAAAGTCGGGTCCAAAACGACCTCGAGCCGGTCCAACGGTTGTTTCGCGACTTTCCGGCCAACGTCCCTCTCCTCGAAATCAGTTTGATCAGCCCCGCACGGCGTCGCTGTCGTCGCCGGGCCTGGTATGACGCTGCCCCGGGAATTGGTGTTTGGAGGGAAACAAAGAGCCCAGGTGGCAGCGATGGCTTCACGGCGGCCGCTGGCGAACTATATATAGATGGGCCTTTGTTTTTTTTTTTTTTTTTTTTTTTGCAATGGGTCACAAGCCAAGAAAACAAATAATACGAATAATAATATAAATAAATAAAATAGCAAAGGAAAACCCACAGCGTGCCCAACGGGACTCGGATCAAACCAGGCGTTTGCTGCCACGTCAGGAAGGAACGAGGATAAGTCAGCAGAACTCGGTGGTGGTGCGTGGTGCGTGGTGCGTGATGCGCGGCGGCCAGGCCCAACCTGGGAGCACTGAGACGCTGGGCCGCGCTGGAGTCATGTTGTCCCCCGGCCACGGCGAACCAGACATGACATTGAAGTTGAGCCCAAGGGTCAAGGTGCTTCCTCCAGTCTCCACCCACAGGCACACCAAGCACCAACAGGAGCCCTATTTACGGCCGTTTCTCCGCTTCGGGGGGGAAACAACGATGGTTCCTGGTGGTTCGCTTCCATGCGGCCGATGCGTTGCCCCCCTGCTTGCCTTGCGCAGCCTGTCATTGGGCCAGACACTGCGCCAGCTCGAGTCTTGACGCCGCGAGCCATTGGTCACTATCAAGATGGCTGGAAGATGGCCAGAAGAGCTGCGATATCGTCCGACTCGAGCTCCCGCGAGCCCTGGTGTCTTACTCCTACTCTGCTCCTCCGTACCGAGTGCGTTTTGGCGGTGACGCCCTATGTGGGAAGTGGAACGCAACTTGTATCAAGCATGGTACAATATATGTAGTCGCTGACCAGGGACCGAGCAAAAAAGAGGTCTGGCCGGAAATGGGAGCCTCGGCTTGGATGCTCGAATCAACAAACCACTTGGGCTCGGCCATGACCAAGAGAGGCGTGGATGGCCTGGCTGTTTCCTCTCTACAATTCAGTATCAATCATGCCAGATCTCTCCCTCCCGTCCCTTTGGCTGGATGGGCTTGGCCGTGGGGTGCCTGAGTACGGCAAGCTCGGGAACTTGGGCCGCCAGCACTTCAATGCTTCCCATGTCCCTGATCAATCAATGCCTCAATGCCGGTCCCGCCACTTGAGCAGGCCCGGTGCCAGGCACAAGACTTCGAGGGCACATGCACATGGGCAGGCTTATCGACTCAGTAGCCACACAGTGGGGCCTGGCCTCCAGATGTCAAGTCTGGTCCCTTTCACCGCCAGCAGCTACCTACTGCCAGGTCCCACAGCGCCAACATTGAACGGCCCACCAGACCAGCCAGGCACATCAGGCACATGGCGTCTGGCGTCACTCGTCGACCGCCAACTTTGACTCGAGCAACGTCGCCCGCAGACCGGCAGCGCGTCGCGCCAAATCCGAGGGCCCGTCCGGCGTCCATCAATATATGTAGGAAATCCAGGCAGAGCTAGCTATGCACAAGTGTCAACTACGGCCGTGTGGGTAAGCCGCTGCAAGGCACTAACCGTATTGACAGTTTGACACAACGTCAATTGTCAAAACACAGAGAGGTCAGTGCCTACTAAGATAGTTGCAAGAGAGCAACATTGAACTTCAAAGCGTACTCCGTAGCCCACCAGCAAATCAGGCCGCCACCTACAACTACTACGTACTCTCTTTTAATCGTCCCAGACTTGGCATCATCTTTCCCCTAGTTCCATCGACGAATCCTTCTTTGTTATAACAAGTACATATATTGATTGATTGTTTCAAGTCAGTATCCGGGATCCACGCGTGCACACCTACACGAGTAGGTCTTCTCAGCCCAACAAAGGACAAAGAATTCCAATGTTGTCCTGATTCTGGTAACGAGAGAGACGGTAACAAAGGCTCCAGGTTGCCTTACATCCCGAGCAGCCACGGTTAGATGGCAGGACTCATCCGAGTACCAAGAGGCACCACCATATGTGCAATCGCGCTTCGCCTTCTATACTATTCTAGAGTTTACACCATTGGTGCATCACGTACGCTTGGCAACCAACTGTGCACAAGGGCGCATTTCCTGCTGTGCTTCCCATCCGACCCGATCATGACGTCCAGTTAACACACTTACTTCAGTCTGTTCACTCGGCGCCGTCGGGATAAAACGCCCATGCTGCAGTCTTGTCCATCAACAACAAGACACACCACGTCCAAAAGGGACATTGACAAAACTACAATGCTTGGTCTAGAATCACGAATCACCAGCCAAAAGCATGGCCAATTAGCTTTCTCAAGATACATCTGGTGGCCAATTCTATGTACAGTTCCAATGGTCCCATAGCCATCCCCGTTGCAAATTTGCGCCGTCATCGTCTCGTGTCATGTCTCAAACAGTGGTATAAATCTATTGTCTACGCTTTCTTTTCGCATCGCCAGCAAAAGTAGCATATCCCCAAATAGTCCTACAAAACTGCTTACAAAAGCGTCTCGCCAAGGGCACAGCGCACTAGGGAGCAGCCAGCTCGGACAGTCTCCTGGGCACCAGCCTCGGTGGCGGCTAAGCTGGGGTTGACCTCGACAAGATCAATGGCTACCAGGGAGCCAGTCTGGTGTACCGCTTCGCAAATGTAGTCGCCCTCGCGGAGAGTCAGACCGCCGCGCACGGGAGTGCCAGTGCTGGGGGCCCACATGGGGTCGAGGGCGTCGACGTCGAAGGACAGGTGGATTGGGGTGTCGGCACCAATGTAGGCAAGAGCCATCTCGACGACGCGGCCGATACCGTAGCTGGCACACGTTACAGGTCAGTATTGCCGTGGCGCGGCCATGTGACAGCATGGTGAAAAGAAGAGTGCTTACCGGTCAACGTCGAACATGCTGAAAGCCTTGATGCCGTTTTCACGAAGAGTTTGCTTCTCGGCCTTGTCGACATCGCGAAGGCCAATGTAGACAAGCTTCTTAATATTGAGTAGCATGTCCTCCTTGATCCAGCCAAAGTACTCCTCCTTGTCGTCTTTGGCCAGGCCAGAGGCAAAAGCAACAGGCATGCCGTGGATGTTGCCACTGTCGCTGACCTCGGGGGTGTTGATGTCGGCGTGAGCATCAACCCAGATGAGGGCAATCTCTCGGTTCAGACGCTCGCGAATAGCCTTGGCGCTGCCAGTGACAGTGCCAATGGCAACGCTGTGGTCACCACCAAGAGTCAGGACGAGACGTCCCTCCTTGGCGTGCTCGTAGACCTCCTGGGAGATCTTGCGGTTGACGGCCGACGTGGTAAGAGGGTTCTTCATGCCACGGTGATCGGCGTCGGTGGTGGAAATCAGCTCCTCGTACTTTTGGACCTTGGTGTCACCATGCAGTTTGTAGCCAAGCTCCTCCCTGATCTGGGTAAGGAGGCCGGAGTCGATGAGAGCTTCGGGGCCAGCGTCGACACCAGCTTTGGGCTGCGAAGGACATGGTGTGTTAGCTACGATAGACAATGATAAAGAAAGCCGGGGATGGATGACGAAAGATGTGAAGGGCATGCATGTGCATGAACGCAACGAAGCGATGGAGGGGCAGATGGAGGGGCAGCGAATGGTGTAGCGTCAACAAGGACACGAGGGTTAAATGCTACTACATTCCGCAGCTGCAAGACAGGGACAGCAAAAATGTCGGAAAATTTAGCAGTACGTACCTGACCCTTGGAGAAGCCAACCGCAACGACACCGAGGTCTTGCGGGTTGGAAAGGAAACGGCTCTGGACAATATCGGTATTCATTGTGGGAATGCAGAAATGTGTTTTTTGTTGTCGCTTTGCTTCTTTTTTTTTCTTGATCTCGCCCGTGGTCTAGATGTCGAGGGGCGGGGGACAAGGTGAATGAATACGTTATGACGTGGAGCCGAGAAAAAATCTCCAAGATGACAGGGCCGGTGTCTGGTGGTGTAGGAGTGCCGAGAACCGAGTACGAGGATACGAATGGAGTCTTACAAAAGAACAGGAGAGGGAAGGGAAAGTGAAGGAATGGGAGGGACCAAGTTAAATAACAATAGATTCCGCACAACCCTCATGCTTGGCTTACATGACATGAGTGAGAGTCAGAGAAAAAAAAGAGGGGGGGATGGGGAGGAGCAGCATGTTGGAACGGACGCCGAGTCGAGTCCGTGGGCAGATGATGAAGACTAGAAATGGCAAGCTATACTCCTAAGTGCAGGTAGACGAGAAGATCGTGGCTAGCGGCAAGGATTGGGGCGCAGGGAATTGAGGGACCTGCTCAAGTCACCGAGGACAAAACACGCCCGTCAAAGGCGGAATGTCACTTAACGGCAAAGCTTGGGGGGGAACGAAATGGCTTCAGTCGGCCCTCCGACCCGCGGGGCAGAAGGCGCGGAAACTTGTGGAAATTATTTGATAAGAGGGCAGGAGAATGCATAGGGGGTCGTTTGCAGCCGACAGAAAACAAAGGATCCATGTCCCATGTGTGTTCCCTCTATGACGCGCCGTGTACTTTATGATATAATATATGCGTTGCTGTGCTGCATATACCTTTTTTCCATCTTTTATGTATTTGCCTTGTCCTTGGTGAGCGAGCATGGGGCTGCGTGTATGTATCATAATCGCCGGCGGTGCTCCGAGACCCAGGCGAGACGGTGCAGAGCCGCCGACCATCTGAGCTGAAAATTGATGTCGGCGTTGATGCGAAGAGGTGCAGAGACACGCCGGCAAATAAAAACAAAGACGCCCAAATCCATCGTCTTGGCTGCATATTCATTGTCTGCCTATATACCTATGGAGTACTCCGTACGGTGTTGCGACTACGCCCTCAACCTAGTAGGTGCGGTCATCGCTCCTTCCACAACCAAGAGCCCTGGGGAGCAGCTCATGATTATTATTATTGTTTTTTCCTGGCTTCTCTCTCTCTTTCAGTCCTATTGACTCCATTACTTCTGCGCAGATGGGGACTCAAGTGCCCAGCTGGTAGGGTCTCAAGATCAAAAACAAAGCCCACCTTCGAGCGCTTTAAATAATAAGTTCACGCATCATTCCCCAGTCAGTTTACGCAGATCCTTCTCCGCCTGCTTCACGTTGCCAGATCGCAGACCTTCCTAAATTCCCCAAGCTTCTGGAACCCATCTCCGACCGCGCGCCGCTGCCTGTCACATCTGCGTCCAGACAAGGGCCATCCGATCCCGTCCCGGAGGCAGCCGAGTTTTTTTTGTTCCTGGTAGCATCAAACTTGCTTCCTCTACGTCATCTCCTCGAGTCGTCTTCCGACAAATATCTTCTCCGCAGAAGTCAAGGCCAAGTAATAAATGTCCAATGCCGTGTCACGCCGACATTTCGTCATACGAACACATCATCATCTGCATGGCCAGGGCCTTTTCACGTCGCACAGCGTCGGGCCCCCAGCCAGACTACCAGCCGCTCGAGGTTCTGGCTTAATGTTCCATGTTGCCGCCTCCGGGGCTGCGGGCGGCTCCGCTGGCGGAATCAACTTTAGAGGAACTACCTCCGAAACGCACACCCCAGCCGGCCGGACCGCAATCAAACACGCAGGGATGGCCACAGACACATTCCAGACAGACAGGGGGCGCAAAATCCGTGGCAGTCCAGAGCCGGCGCTACCCACGTGAACTTGTTGGGCCTCACACGGTGGATGCGCCGGACCATGAGGGACAATGGTCATGTGGACTGTGGCTTGATCATTTTAGGTAAGGGTAACAGGCCTGGAAAAGATGTGAGTACGAGTGACGGCATTCTCCAGACAGAGTGAGGACTGCACACCCGAGTCAGTGACGGTGGCTGTGAGTGATGAAATTGTTGGACGCATCTCGCTTCCCCGCCTTTTGCATCGTGATTGCCGAATGGAGCCCGGGTTCGGGGAGACGCATGTCCGGCACAATCAAGTTGCAAATACGCATACCTCTACTCCGTAGGTAGTAGTCACTGTGGTTTGTACATAGTACTACGTATTTGCTATTCTCAGACATTGTCTGACTCACCACGTCTCCCCAAGTCTGTGAGCGCGCCCTCGAAACTTCATCCACAAAAGCCACCATGGCTGAGAGAACGCCAGTAAGCCAGCCACCTTTTCATGGTCATAGGCATTGGGCCTTCAAACGAAGCCCCTAGTATTTGAAAGGGGGAATAACGAACGAGGCGAACGTGGCCGTTGGAGCCGACTATATGGTCATTGTCACCCAGAATGGCCAGATCAGGTAATCAAATAATTAATATCCTTGTACGGAGTACGAGTTTCATGTTGTTTGGTAGCAGGTCTTTGCACGCCATCAAGCACTGCGGGGGACGTGCGGGAGTATGAAGCAGAGCATAGTCATTTCAAATCAGTCTATATGGTCTATATATGTATGCTTCGAATATGGGTTTGGACAAGACTGTATCACTTTGCCGGTGCCATGCCACCAAGTCAGATGGCAGCCTCGCCGCGGGTCGTGCAACGTCATGCTGTAGCGAAACATGAGTTTGACGGCCCCAGTCTCGGCAACTAGCACGGATGCCTTGACAGGATGCAGCCGGTCAAAGTGGAACTGCCGCCAATAATAATCGTCATCCGTCGTTCTATACACATTCATGATCATACTCGTAATCGTGCATCATAGCCGCTTCCGTCCAGAGATTGCTCAACCTTCACCATGCGCGAGAGACACGTGTCTCACGTTTAAAACATGTTGCGGGGATGCTTATCTCTGTTCCAGCAGGTTGTCCAATGTATCATAACTCCATCCATCATCAATTTTGATTTTCGAGCATCGAGGTATTGCGATTGCGGTGTATCGAGGTCGCATAATTTGTGCCCTTATGGCGATTCCACCTCCATAATCTCCATTGTCTCCATTGTCCAGTACGGAAGCTCGCGAGCCAGTGGATCCGCAGCATCATATTCATTCTCGCTGGAGTCCGGCTCATCAAGCTCGTCGATACGTGGAGCGGGAGGGTCTTGGAAAAGCAGGCTGCCTCGGTGCAGGCGTTTGCGCAGTTTTCGCGCGCTCGATCCAACCTCGTTGACATCAAGACCGCCGGTGTCAGAGTTGTCTGAGTCGGTGAACTCGCTGAACTCGCTGTGCGTTCGCTTCCCGGTACTCGACATGCTAACCCTTCTGTTCCGCCGGATCTCCTTCTGCCTCTTCAGGAAGACACTTTCAGTATCCATACCTAATTCACCCTCGGCATCTACTTCATTCTCCGACACGTCGTTGCTGCAATTGAGGTTCTTAAAGTCCCGCACCATCCCTTTGTCAACGTATTTGTGACGGGACCTTGAGCGACTTCGATTGGACTCAATCTCTGTTGGAAGGAGAACCTCGAGACCGTCGCAGCCACTGTCCATGGCATCTATGTCTTCAACTGTGAACTCACAGCCCGAAGCGGCGCTGGACGGGACAGCTGCGACTCGGGACTGACGGGCTGCTTCATCTCCTGCCTCTGAGCCCGCTGCTGAAATGGATACTGTTTCAGGCTCCGAAGGCAGACGGAAGAAAGGTCGTGCATTGACTTCCACGTGTTCTTCTTCCTCTTCTGCTTCTTCTTCGTAGTCTTCTTCCTCCACTCCGCGGTCTTCATCATCCGCATCCTCGTCATCCGCGTCCTCGTCATCCGCGTCCTCGTCATCCTCGTCGTCTCCATCCCCGGAGGTCTCATCATCCGGTCCAGAACTTGCATCCTCAGAAGACGCTGCAGTAGAATTGATGATACTCTGGGGCCGTGCTATATCGGACACAGACGAATCATCGTCCAACTCTTCTCCTGCTTGTTCCTCTTCTCCCTCAGACTCATCCGATGACGATGACCTAGGGCTCAACTGCTCCGGTCCAATGACTCTCCGATAGCTAAATTGATGACCATGACCAACCGGTTTGATGTTGGGGTCCTGTTCCAGTGGACGACCAGAGTAGCCAAAATAAACGGCCGAGTGTTGTGGTGGCTTGCGGGCCATGTGTGGCGATCCGGTGGGGGTTTCTGGCGGTGACGTTGGGCCCGTTGCTCCCGATGAATGATTGATACGGGGAGGCTCTCGGGAGAGCTTGAGACTAGGTGTCAACCGGCGGCGCCGATGATTGTTGCGTTTGCCCATTGTCTAGGCTAGCTAGTAATAAAAACGTATAGTAAGCACAAACGGCAATGCTTGATGCTGGTGGATGGCCTTTCTTTTTTCCAACCGCCACCGTTTTGGAGAAACAACGTATTTGGGCTGGCGTCAAAACCAGTCCGCCGTGCAACGATCCTATCAGAGGAGGGTCGAATGCAGGTCTGTGGGGTACGAGCGGGAGCGTGATAGTAAGGGAAGGAGATGGAGAGGCAAGAGGGTCCGGAGGTCAGCAAAAAGCCGCTCAAGAGCTTCTTGTTGCTGTTGCCCTGCGTTGCTCTGGCCCGGTGGTGGTGTACGCCGGTTGCTCCTGCGCTTTTTGATGTTGCGGGCGGGGAGGAGCGGGTAGTGAAACTGAAGCCAAAAGAATTTCCCAAAGCAACGCTCGGTACCGGGGTGCAATCGTGAATATACACTCAAGAGTCCAATAATCGACGTGCATGCGGCTGGCGGGAAAGACTCCGCCGTCGAGATGTCGGCTGTGGCTACACTGTTCAGTGCCCGGACTCCAGAGTCGAGTGTTGATGCAGTGTTCTAGGTAATTATGTACTGCCAGGCGCAGCTACCAGTGGAGCGGCAGCGGGTAGGTAAATGAATAAATGAACAAATGAACCAGATAATGGTCAAGCAAGCAGCAGTACGGTCAATGGCACTCGGAACAAGTCGAGTCAAGGTG